TATGTAAAGGAATATCCCCACAAAATTGATAGTATAGTAACCTCCATATATAGAATAGTAACCACATATTGCCAATATGGGGATGGGTCAAAACCTTGTACCCCTGGTGAACCCCAAAATAGCTGGGATTTATGGATGTTCATCCCACTAAAAATCGTATTAATAGGTATTGATCCATAGCCATATATCTAAAATGCAATATATAAATCACTTCCCGCACTCGGTGCGGCGAGGCACATCCGCGGGTGCCAGGTAGCACAAGATCTGCAGCACCTGGTTCCTGGTGAACGAACTGGAAAATCCACCCATTTTTAATAGGTAAACTATCGATTTCTATGGGTTTTCCATAGCTTTTTGTATGTTTACCAGAGGGTAATGTGATTTTCTTGGGATTACAGCCACAAGAATGTGGCTGCTTTCTGAGTTTGAAATAGTTTCAATGTTGTCTTATTGAGATAATAATGGTAGATAAACTCCTTCTCAAAGTGCAATGACAACGTTGCCAGCCAAGGGGGTTCCAAACCGCCAGCATAGGGATGTGTCTGATTTTGGGATGTGTCTGATTCAAAACTGGTTTAATCATGAGATCCTGGGGGTAAACCATATTTCCAGACAAACTCTCATTCTGTTGTAATGTGGTTAGTATGGTTAGTATGATTAGTATGGTTTCATAATGGTTAATAAGAGTTAATGATGGTTAAACATTGTTAATAATGGAAAGATGATTATCTGGTTGGTGGTTGGTAGTATACCTACACCTCTGAAAAATGATGGACGAATCGTCAGTTGGGATGATGACATTCCCAATAGATGGAAAGTCATAAGATTCATGTTCCAAACCACCAGCCAGGTACTGTTGGGATTTTCATTTATGTTTATGGCAAATAATCTGGCCCCAATGATTGATGGTGAAGATATGTGAGGATTCGCCAGCATTCTTCTGGTTGCTGGATGCTTATAGGTTAATAATCCCCATCCATAAAGCCAGACGTTTTTGGTGAGAGGTCACCGAAATGCAGGATCTGGTGTCCAGGCTTTTGGAAAAGCTGGAGCAGCTTGATTTTTGGCTATTCCATGACTTGACCACACTGTTTCCGAGTGGTACACGAATTCTCCAAAAAAGAGGATTCAACCAACCAGTCATCAGTTGGTCTAGCCAAGTGGCTCATTCAAATTTCCGAAGACGCCCGCCATGGCTGCCTTTCAATCTATCTTCTCATTCGGCGTTTCCTATTCCGACCACGTTTCTTTTTCGTTCCAGGTCTTTGCTTTGTGTTTGAAGTTTGGCATTTTGATATTTTTCGTGACCAAGTGTGAATCATTCAAACATGTGCCAAAGAAAATGTCAAACATCTGAGTGAAATGGAAACAATGAAGCAGGAAAACATGTTTTGTGTTTACAATGGTTTTACCCATTGAACAACAAAAAAGTTTTTTTCGCTCTCACATGTCATGCTTCTGATGATATCAAGTCCATCACCGACAAATGGGGGTTTCCATAAATGGTGGTACCCCAATAGCTGGATGGTTTATAAGGGAAAATCCATCATTAACATGGATGAGAACTGGGGGTAGCCCTATGACTCAGGAAACCTCCATATGTTTTATGGATAAATCATGTGACAAATGTCCATTTCTGATGGACATTTACCACCCTTTTTAAGTGTTACCTTCCTGCGAACCAAACAGCGGCAATTCATGATGGAGCCAGAGATGCCAAAATTTTGACACCATCTCTCAAATTAGTTTAGCAACTGCCAAAAAAGTGATAAATGACTTACCATCTGGTTATTTAACATAGCCATGGAAAATCACCATGTTTCCATAGGTAAACCATCTATTTCTATGGGCCATTTCCCATGGCTATGCTAAATAACCAGAGGGTAGTTGCTATAAATCATGAGTTAGTTCGTTCCTATAGCTTGGATCCAACTTATCATCAACAATAGTAAAATCCAATCCAAAAGAAAGTGCCTCTGTCCCGTGTTCTATCTTCTTGGTGGCTTCTATACTATATATGGAGGTGTCCTAAAATAGGGGTACCCCCAGTTCTCATCCATTTTATTAATGGATTGTGCATCATAAACCATCCAGCTATTGAGGTACCAGCATTTATGGAAACCCCAATATAATAATATATATTTATATACATGGATATAAGTTATAAGATGTTATAAGTGTGTTTAAGAGACCCCTTCAGCAAATCAAGACCTACATTAATCTGGGATAGATGGATTAGTTGAGTAATTACTGAAATATGCTTTAATCCGTTTTCAATAAATGGGGATTTCCATAAATGCTGGTAAAGAACAGCATCTTCCCCAATTTTACCCAGAAAGCTCACCGTCCATGATATCGGCTTCCCTAAGTAGCTCAGCATCTTCCCATCCTAACCAGCTCTATGGTGATGAAAAAATGTGAAAAATGAAAAGAATCTTCAGCAAAAAAAAGATGATTGGGGATTGCCACGGCAATGACCAGCGCTAGATTTCCTAGATACCGTAAGGAATCAACACTTAATGAAAAATAATGCCTGAAACTCGTTTGCTAGGTTAGAGTCATCCCAAAAAGATGCTCGTTGATGGGGTAAATAGGCTTGTGAACATAATTCTTCAAATAACCAATGAGTAGCGATGTGCCAATCATAAAATGCCGCTTCACCGACAGGGTAATCGAAGGAACAAATCAAATTTGCCTTACAAGGTGAGGAAACGCTCCTAGAAAAAAAATGGACACCCCCATTGCAGTATATAACTAACTATATAACTATAGTCATATCCCCGATAAACAATAGAATTCTGCGTCAACTTAGCTATCTAAAATGGGGTTAGCCCCCTATTTCCGGACGCCAATTTTTCAAACGCTGCCTCCCAAAACTCCTGGACTCTCAACCCTGGATTAACAAACCCCTGGGTTGTTTGATTGGCGGGGCTTCAGTGGTGCATCATTTTTTCTGGCTAACCCAGTTGATTTAAAAAATCAGAGGTTTCATCCTAGTACAAGGTTGACAGTATAGGTGCTGTTGACACAAAAACACAGGAAACCATCAGCCGATCGCAGAAGTGTCATTTTCAATCATTGAACAACCACATTCCAATCAAGCTCATGGTACAATGCAGCATCGTCTCAGACTTACCTAGCTATTTGTCCACAAGGTGGGTTAGTGCCACTCAGCACTCTGAGACACTTGTCAATCATCATGCGACGACATGAGGTCATGTCAAGTGGTATCACAAGCCATGAGAGTCAACAAGCCAAGGGAGCATCTATTCATATGGGGATGGGTCAAAACCCTGGTACCTAGTGAACCCCAAAATAGCTGGTAAATGGATGTTCATCCCACTAAAAATGTATCTATAGGTATTGACCCATACCCATATCTATTCGCCAGTCAATATGAATCAAGGACCAAATGCCGCATAGATGTCAAGGCAATGTGCTGCCAAGCTCAAGATAAACCACTATCGAGGCAAGATAGGGATGACAAAAAAATCGCGCACATGCAACGAACAAGGTACACATCATATTCTGCAGCAAACAAAACAATACTAAGCACAGAATTTGAATAGGGCTATCCGACTATGAAGACAATTAACATCTATTGACTAATGACATTTGAACTGGGGCCGGATGTTCAAGGATCTTCTATACAATACTCCTGGATGATGATAATCTGTGCCATCATTGGACACTGTCCTGGCTCTGACAGCGCTCCGATATTGTCTTGTTTGAACAAAAAAACAGCCGTTGCTGTCAATGAATTGAGAAACATATCAGAACTTCCCCTGGGTCAAAAAACCTCTTGTGCCAGACAATACTCTCAACCTGTTGTGCCCAGAAAATACTTTAGTGACATACACTTTATCACTTTATCATTGAATTTTTGAATAATAATGTTTGATTTGCAGAGAGTATGTCGGTTGACGCACCACGGAACATTGGCACAATGTGGCATCGTCTCAGACTTACCTAGCTATTTGTCCACAAGGTGGGTTAGTTCCACTCGGCACTCTGAGACACTTGTCAATCATCATGCGACGAAATCATGCCACGAGGATCATAAGCAATGTTGGCGCAGAAACAAAACAAATTGATGGCAAACCAAGGGTACCCTCCGGTAATCAAACATAACTCCAGCAATTATAGTGAATTAGTAGTTGATTTTCCCATTAAAAACCGTATCGGGGATTTCCCAAATACTGTAGCCATGTTTGATGACACCGGAGGGTAACTGAAGTGTGAAAGTGGGTTTGAACCCCAGCAGCAGAGTTGTAACTGAACAATTGAAGCGAACCCCCCAATCCTGAAACTGGGTATCGCGCGCAAGGTTGCGGCTAGTTTTACATCCGAAGTTCGTAGAACAAACATAGAAAAACGATAGCTGACAGGCTGACAGATATGATATGTGTTTGTTGTGCTATATACTGTGATGGACATAATCCAGAATACAAAATCCACAAAACAGCATGGATAAATAAAACACATTTCGACGGACCTTGCGTGTATGCTTAGCTGGAATCAAAACATTCATATGCAAGGCCGATTCATACAGTGTTTCCGGCGTGTGTTTGCACATAGAAACACTGCTTACATTTTACATTTGCTTACCATGTTGCAATTAAACAATAACATCCATTTTGCTGATGGAATCCACGTTAAATGGTGATACAAAGCATGTTTGGTTGGGAAAATATGTTTCAATTTGAAACTGTCAATGTTGGTTGGATACATCCACATGTCGATCCACATGTTCAGCATCTCAAGTCCCGGTTTCCTCGTTCAAGTCGTTTTTTTTCACTTTTTTTGCAAGTAGCGTGTCAGCCTCTCTTCTACAGGCCTGTGCCGCGGACAAGGGTCCATGGAAAATCCACGAGTTTTGAACGAAACACATTGGGATTTATCGTGATTTATCAATAAAATTGGGATGTGCTCTCTGGGAATTTCAAGCAGTTTGCGAACTGGAAACCAAGTTTACCAAGCAGCAGCCGTCCCTTTTTTTTGACCACCGACGTCTCAGACCGGCTTGGCCAGTTCTTCCTTCACCCAGGAAAGGACGGTGTTGACGTCTCTCCTGCCATTCAAAATGGCTTGAGATATGAAGGGTTCAGCCATAGGCGAAGCCTACCCTCTGGTAAACAAACATAGCTATTGAAAATGGCCATTTATAGTGGATTTCCCCATGAAAAATTGTGATTTTCCATCGTTTTTTGTATGTTTACCAAAGGGTAATTTTGGACCCATCATATCATCAAACCCTTGGCCAACTGATTTCCCATGGACACATGGACCATACTTCCCGAGCTGGGAAAGCAATCCACTGAGTTCGATAAATCGACCATCAAGCATTGTTAATTCACCGCCAGAACCACCTTAGTTGTCGTAAATCAGTTATCTAAAGAAAAACAACATATGTTTGCAGCTGGTATCAGTCACATGTTATTTTTTCGTGTTTTTTTACATGGTGACCCACCAACTCATCCAACATCCCTCGATTTTTACCCATCATTTCTAGATGGCCAGTCCCATCGCCCATTGTCCTCCAGCGTGGGTACGTCACCAGCTTTACAGAACTTTGGGTCGGCCGGACCAGGATCAGAGTGGGAAACGATTGGATGTCCTTCGCAGGAAACGATTTTGGTCAACCAATGTAGCGCCCCAATGTGTAACCGCTAAGTTGGTGAACACTTAACTGGTTGGTGGTTGAGCCCTACCCCTCTCAGTTGGGATGATGAAATTCCCAATATATGGTAAGATCAAAAATGTTCCAAACCACCAACCAGCTTGAATAACTGGGTGAATTCTAGGTTTGATGGATGCTTCGGTATATCGAACTAGTATTCATGGGGTTTATATACCAACTTACAAGTAGGGGGAACAACATTAGCATTGTGGGAAGATGGGAAGATTTCTAGATATTTCTAGCAACCTCCAGTTGTTGAAAAGTTTAACAGAAACTCTAACATACTGAAGTCATCTGAAGTCATCTTTGTTTGGACACAGTGTGCTTAGATTTACGGTCCCCTCAACTAGCTTTTACAAAATCAGCCAAGGTGAAAGCTTTTTGAATTCCCCTGATTTGGCAGGGTCGATTTGTCGGAGAGAGTTTGGCCCAGTGAGGTAAAATTGAAAAGGAACAATGTCTGGAAAATCGTGGTGGTCCGTCCGACCCTGAATTTTTTGCAGTGTCTTGGAACCAGGATATCTTGCTGCCATTGATTCAGCAAGAACCAGAACAGGGAGTGAAAACCGAAGCAGAAAACTGACCAACATCTCAGTACCGGGAGCTAAACCTCTTCGAGAGATACTCCTGAGAGGAGACGAACAATATCATGTTTGATGATGATCAAAATGATGATGATGATGATGATGATGATGCTGATGATGCTAATGATGCTAATGATGCTAATGATGCTGATGATGCTAATGATGCTAATGATGCTAATGATGCTGATGATGCTATGATGCTAATGATGCTGGTGATGCTGGTGCTGATGCTGGTGCTGATGCTGGTTGTGATGCTGCTGATGCTGATGCTGATGCTGCTGATGCTGGTGCTGATGCTGGTGCTGATGCTGCTGATGCTGATGCTGCTGATGCTGGTGCTGATGCTGGTGCTGATGCTGCTGATGCTGATGCTGATGCTGCTGATGCTGCTGATGCTGGTGCTGGTGCTGATGCTGCTGATGCTGATGCTGATGCTGGTGCTGATGCTGATGCTGATGCTGGTGCTGATGATGCTGCTGGTGCTGATGCTGGTGCTGATGCTGGTGCTGGTGCTGATGCTGGTGCTGATGCTGATGCTGCTGCTGCTGCTGTTGCTGATGCTGAAGCTGGTGCTGCTGATGCTGGTGCTGCTGGTGCTGGTGCTGATGCTGGTGCTGGTGCTGGTGCTGATGCTGGTGCCGATGCTGATGCTGGTGTTGATGCTGATGCTGATGCTGGTGCTGGTGCTGATGCTGATGCTGGTGCTGATGCTGATGCTGGTGCTGATGCTGCTGCTGGTGCTGATGCTGGTGCTGATGCTGGTGCTGGTGCTGATGCTGGTGCTGATGCTGATGCTGCTGCTGCTGCTGTTGCTGATGCTGGTGCTGCTGATGCTGGTGCTGCTGATGCTGGTGCTGATGCTGGTGCTGGTGCTGATGCTGATGCTGGTGCCGATGCTGATGCTGGTGTTGATGCTGATGCTGATGCTGCTGCTGCTGCTGGTGGTGGTGGTGATGCTGGTGATGCTGGTGATGCTGGTGATGCTGGTGGTGGTAGTGGTGGTAGTGGTGGTAGTGGTGGTAGTGGTGGTAGTGGTGGTAGTGGCGGAGATGTTGCTGGTGCTGGTGATGATGATTGTGATGATAGGATCATGTTTGTCCCCCGAGGTGTTGTGATATCCAGCAAGTCAAAGAAGGCAAATAAAAGTAATGTGAACAGCAACCACGTTAATTTGAGCAAACAAAGTCCAGAACAAGACTTGGTTCATGCATATGCATGACACGTTACAAAAAAGAATGAGACGTTGACCAGTGTAGTTGAATACTCATAGTTGTGTGGATAATGTGAGAAATGAAATGCCGTAGATCTTCCATTTGGGGGACGGTTTATTGTTGGGTTTACCACATTAGTGCTCATGGCTGGAAAACCGGGCTTAATAGTAAACAAGACCTGCAATCCGTTTGAAAACATTGTCTACGCGTCAAGACAGCTCATGGTTGTTTGCTCACCAGTTCGAAGTAGCAACCCAAGCAGAATATCCGTAGGCAAAGATCCAAGACAATCATTTTGCCGTTCCCAGCAACTGCCAAGTTTCAAAACCAGCAGCTTTGGCTGAGCGAGGCACCTGCAAATTGCCAGGGGTATGAATGAATTGCAGGCCACGGGATTTAACCTCCATAAGCCCTACGATATAACTTTATGAATGTAGCTATAGTCGTATGAATGTAACTATGGGATATATAATCCCTACAACTATGGTGACATATGGTGACATAGAACCCACTTAACCATCTTCATCATTACGCTTCCACTGCACCCCGAAGCTTTGAGGTTATGAGGCTCACAATATCGGCATCAAGCCCTGAAAATCCACAAAATGTGTATGGCCATTCTGGTTGCATCAACAGAAATAGGGCTATTCTGAGATCGTTTCTTTTAGTGACCTCATAGTGACAACTATCATGTACCAAGATGATCTTCATGTTTCAATTTTTTGAAGGACCATGAAATAGGACCTATCTCATTGATAGTCATGGTTTTATTTGAGCACCATATCTCAAAGGCTCAGAGAAACTCCAAGAATCTAAGACATGGCAAAACGTGGGATCGAGTGGGGATAAACTAATCTATTTTCTTCTCAAATTTCAAGTTTAGCACATGAATTTCCAAAACATAGGTTGTTGAACATCGGGATCTTTAAGGGCTTAACTGCTTAAAACCATGGATTTATAGCCGGTGATGGGGACCATCAAAGATATCGTGATGATTGACCATTCAAAACAACAATGTTCACATCATTGTAAACTTACTTGTGCTTAGAATTATTTTAAGATTACAATGATGTGACAATAATTAATAAGTTTAATAACTAAGTAGTCTTATAATGAGATTATGGTGAATGAGCGACTGATCCACTGGCTACCTATCAATTTCATCATCCCAGCAACACCCAGCAACCCATCGATTCCCTACGTTTAATGTGGGATCCACTGCTCGGATCAAAGAGAGAACTCACATGTCTGCTAGATCGATATGGATCTGATTTTACAATGCTGCCGCTAGGGGCTCACAAGGATATAATGGTGAGTTCATGGGATGTAGAGGAATAGATTATAATTTCATGGGATATGACGCCAAGAAAATGGCACATTGTTCAAGTTGCACAGGATTCATGGTGATTTTACCAGCAAAGCTATGGGATTTCGAGGAAATATCATTGGAATATATATTTATATATATGGTCATCCATACCATGTCGTGGGATTCCACACATGGTAGGTATATATATATATGTAAATACCTTCTAAATGGTTTGATGACCCCAATATGGGTACACAAAATCCAACTTTTCATAACATAGACCCTGCCAGATAGGGGTTGGAAGATGAGTTTCCACTACAAATTGGTGATTTTCAGGGTCTATGTTACTTTACCAGAGGGTAATTTCTTCATACCTTTGATGCAGCTTGATGTGTGAAGTCACGAGAATCCTGAACGAAACAACCACCCGAAACTTCGCGGCTTCGCGCCGAGACTAGGGCTGCCACAATGAAAAAAAACAGCAGCTTCACCAATTGTTAGAGCCATAGATCAAAAATTGTCCTATACGTTTATATATGGTTTCTGGTTGGAAGTACCAATCAAAGATTAAGCAAATATCAGAAAACCCACCAAAAATTAGATAAATCCTATCAAAATCTCATATTTTCATATATTTTCCAACCATAAATCCACTGTAATTCCAGAGATTTTCCACCCATCGCACCTGATGATGGTACAAATCCATCCTGGCCGCCAAGGCATCCCCGGAGTGCCCCAGGAACTGCGCGATCTGCGCATAGCTCGGGGCGAAGTGCGCGCAGTGGCCACACATGGGCGAGTAGAATTCCAGGAGCATATCTTGCCTCGGGGAAGAAAGAAGTCAGGTATAATAAGCCAATACAAATATATATATAATACAAATATATAAATATAAATATAATATAAAAAAATATAACATATATAAAATATATAAAATATATAAAATATATAACATATATAAAATATATAACATATATAAAATATATAACATATATAAAATATATAACATATATAAAATATATACATAATATGATAAAATATGTGTGTATATCGTGTCTCTCTCTCTCTCTTTTACTCTTGTTCTTCTTTGGAAGTTTTGGCTGCAGCAGGAGAAATGACATCGATGGAATCCGATGGAGCCTGGCCAGTGCCTGGGACAGCCTCTGATAGAGGTCGGAAAATGGCTGGAAAACGTAGCAACAACATGCAGCGATATCAGGAGATTCAGGAGATACAATACAGAAACTGAAATCTGGGCTTTACACTGACCACATGGACTAGTCCCAAGTGCTCCTGGGGTGCAATTTCTGCACCTAACCAGGTAGTTTCAGTGTTGAAACAGCTTCTTCTCATGTTCTCAGGTCCTCTTAAAATGTGACACCTTGCATGTCCCAGGCTATTTGGGCCCGTCAGAATGCAGAACCCCCGTTACCAGGTTTCAATTCCATCTCTCTCATTCATGAAGTGGGGGTACCCCATAATCCATTTTGAAAGGGTAATAATAGATATAATATAATAGGATTAATTATACTTAATAAACCATCCATTTTCAATACCCCCATTTAATAAAACCCCTATATTATCATTGTGCTTTGCAGTGGAAAAAAATGCCCTCAACTCTCCCGGCAAATGGGTTTGACTGAACATGGCGAAAATCTAGGAGAAAACCCCCAAATTCCAAAAAAATGATCATCACTTTCGCCAAGAAATGTGAAATTTTGGGGCTGTCCTCCGAAGTTTCTCCCATTTGCACAGACGGTCTGGTGGTCTGGTGCTTTTTCAACTTCCGAGAGACTTGGGTTTCAAGACCACCTCGTCGAAATTCTGTGCGTCCACCTCTCAGGAAAAAAAAGTCCAGCTTTGCAAAAAACGGAGGAAACCCAAAACCCATTGAATCTGTGGGGACATTGATTTATTGAAATTGACAAAAGAACAAAAAAACATGTTGGTTGATGATGGTTGATGATGGTTGATGATGGTTGATGATGGTTGATGATGGTTGATGTTGCTTGGGACTGCATTAATGATGACATCTGCATCTTGTTGGTGAATTCCCGATTGCATTTGTTGGTTTGATCGCACAAATGTGGAGTGGTTCTAGCGGTTGCTTCTGGTTGCTCGAAAGGGAATCCTACAACAGACAATCAACACTTTCTCACAAAGAACATATAACATACCCTCTGGTAAACTAACATAGCCTTGGAAAATCACAATCTTTAGTAGATAAATCAACTATCATCGGCCATTTTTTATTGCACCAGAGGGTAATCAACATCATCAACGCACCTCATGACCGTGCATATTCCAACAGGGTGAAGTGGGCATCTTAAGATCACTGGCTTGGTAGAGGTCATTGATAGTGGGAACTTTCCGGGAGACCTCATGGTTTCAACAGTAAAACCATCAAATCATTCCTGCAGGGCTCAAAATTCTCCATGTCCACTGCTTCCATCCTGATCTTGACAAAATCTATCCCCAAAAAAGTGGGGATAGCTGCACTGCTAAGGACATCGCCTCGTTGTTTGTTTCAGAGGTAAAATAAATTCCGTGCTCGTTGTTGTTTCATTGGTCATGTAACACATGTCAAACATCCGACCCATACCTAAAAATCATTCCAAATGTTGGTGGTGTCAACCCCTCTGAAAAATATTACTCAGTTAGGATGATTATTCCCAATATATGGAAAAATACAATTCATGTTCCAAACCACCAACCAGATCATAATTTAGCACCCAATTTCTCGATTTAAGACTTACAAATCCTCAAGGTATCTGGGTAAATTATAATATGTCACTAACCTGAATTAAGGCCATTTGGAGATGATTTCCCTTACTAACCATGATTCCAGGGAGGTCGCAGTGAGGTCGTTATAATTTACCCAGATGGTATTGATAACACTAATATCCTTACCTGTATGCACTGACAAAATTAATTATACATATGTCATCCTACCGGGTGCGTTTCTTTTAATAGGCGGGTCAAAAGTGTTACTATAGTTGGAGGGTTATATCCCAACTTATGAAGGTTAAAATCCCATACTTATACCATGTTATACCATTTTTCCCCACCTGCCAGGTGAGGGTTGTGAGATTTTATCAGAGTTGTTCTCCTCCTCCTCCTCCTCGGCTAGCTGTCCTCCTCCTCGTCCTCGTCCTCCTCCTCCTCCAGTTTCTCCTCGACCATGTCTGCATCAACTTCCACCTCCACTTCCGCCTTGCCAACTCTTCGCCAAGCTCTTTGCCAACTCTCTTCGCCAAGCTCTTTGCCAACTTCCCAGCTCAGTGTGCACTGGGACCTCAACCTGGGACCTGCCCAGCTCAGTGTGCACCGCTGGACCTCAACCTGGGACCTTCCCAGCTCAGCGTGCACCGCTGGACCTCAACCTGGGACCTGCCCAGCTCACTGTGCACCGCTGGACCTCAACCAGGGACCTTCCCAGCTCAGTGTGCACCGCTGGACCTCAACCTGGGGCCTGCCCAGCTCAGTGTGCACCGCTGGACCTCAACGGCCAGAAAGAATGTCAGAAGATATGCCAGATAGAATGTCAGAAGATATGCCAGATAAAATGCCATGAGATATGCCAGATAGAATGCCAGAAGATATGCCAGATAGAATGCCAGAAGATATGCCAGATAGAATGTCAGAAGATATGCCAGATAAAATGCCAGAAGATTTGCCAGATAGAATGCCAGAAGATATGTCAGAATAGATGCCAGAACATATGCCAGAAGATATGCCAGATAGAATGTCAGAAGATATGCCAGATAAAATGCCAGAAGATTTGCCAGATAGAATGCCAGAAGATATGTCAGAATAGATGCCAGAACATATGCCAGAAGATATGCCAGATAGAATGCCAGAAGATATGCCAGATAAAATGCCATGAGACATGCCAGATAGAATGCCAGAAGATATGCCAGATAGAATGCCAGATAGAATGCCAGAAGATATGTCAGATAGAATGCCAGAAGATATGCCAGTAAGAAAATCTATAAATGTCATGGTGGGGATCACACGAAGTAAAGCAATTTTTACCCCAAGCGCACCCCCAAGTATCTCCCCATAAAACCACCATGTTCTATGATTTATACTATGGTTTATACCCATTAATTGCCATTGATTACCATTCTTGGCCAACAATAAACATTAACCATCACTAACCCATATTAACCAGTAATTCTTAATCATTATTAAGCCATATTAACCACTATGAATTGCCATTAGCCAATAGACCAGCCACCAGCCACCAGCCCACTCCCCATCCTCAAGGCATGCATCACAGGGCAGATGTGGCACATCATCCTCCGACAGGACGTCGCCATTCGATCCCATGGCCTCCACCATGTGGCGCCATACGTGGCGACCACGTGGCGCTGGTGCCCAAAATTGTTGCTGGGATTTAAGGCAGCAAAATCATGGCAGTAGATGTTCATAGGGAATTCCTAGAAATTATCTTGCTTAATGGATATCAATAGGAAATTCTGGTCATATTCTTGGGATGAAAAAAATGGATTAGAATTGGATATAATGGAGATATATAAAGGGGACAACTATTTACCTAGACAAAGTGATGCCCCACTTTGGAATGGCTAAGTTGGTGCAAATAACTGCAAGAACTGTTGGGTTTTATTAAGGGAGATATATACTATAGCTCTAGTTGATGGGGGCTGTAAAAGAACTTGTAGAATTGGAGAGCCCCATTATACGACACCATTTATAGAAGTGTTGCCTAGAATCCCAACTAACTGTAGATCCCCCATATTCCCCCAGGTTATGATGGCTACACCCTCATGTTTGTGTCAAGTCCAATTTGGTGAAATCCGTTATGGGAATGAAAAAAGCACAATGTTTTAGTTGGTTCACCAAAACAATAGTAATGTGTCTGGGTAAATTATAAATTATAATTCACTAACCTGAATAGTTCTGCCATTTGGGAATGATTTCTAGAATCCGAACTATGATTCCAGTGAGGTCGCGGTGAGGTCATTAAAAATTTACCCAGATGCGTGTTTGTAAAACCAGATAATTTTGATTGTTAAAACGCAATTTCGACTTTTATGACTTTTCACCCCCCGTTCTTGATGGCCAAATCCTTTTTGGTGGAATCTATTTTTTTGTGTTGCTTATCTATGTGTTTGTGTAGGTAATTGGATAAAATCACTATTACCTTATTTTCTGCTAGTAATCCTATACCAGATTTTGTTGGTAAATTGTATCCCCATCATCTCCATGAAATATCGCCATAACTTAGTGGCTGGTAAAATCTCAGCCAGCTAAAAAGGAAAAGAACCATTTTTGTCTGGACTCTTCCTGATATATTACCATCTATTCTTGGTCATATCATAGTCATATCCTATATTGGATGGGATGTAGCCCCATATCGGTCCTCCAATAACTCTTGCATTCGCTTAGAGAACCTCAAAAAACAATTCCATAAAAAACAAAATAACAATTCCCTAACAAATAAAAAGTAGTGGATATTAGATATCTATTCATATTCTCCATAGATGCCCTATTTCGAGTTGATTCTGGAAAAATATGCCAAAATCACCAACTCCCAGAGAGTTGACATTCGCATCATTCGCCTTCTGGGCACTAAGGCGTGCGAGGTGCGTGTGCATGGCACACTCGGTCTCCTGGTGGTTATCTGATATTTTGGGATGTTGTTTGGGCCAGAAAAGGTGATTTATAATGATTTGTATGATTTTGTTCATAGGATTTTTGAGCATTGATATATAGTTTTACAGATTTAACCTCTGGTAATTTAACATAGCTATTGAAAATTGCCATTTATAGTGAGTTTTCCCATTAAAAATGGTGCTTTTCCATAGTTACGATAGTTTACCAGAGGGTATGAGCATTGATATATAGTGTTACAGGGCTATAAACCGTCCGGTGCTGGAAGATCCTTGGACTTCAATTTCTATTGCTGCTAGATATCTACCAGCAAACCACGTGCTTGATGACACAAAGGAGGTTAAAGCGGCACGAGATCGGAAGGAACATAGAGATTCAATGGTGATATTTCTTGGGACATAGAACCAACATTCACCAACAATAGGTTATTTGGGTGTCTGAAAATGGAGTATACCGTATACCAAGATGCAGTCGCAAGTGCAGGATGTGCTCTGTGGTGCCATTCATGCTGAATTATGGCACAAACAAAGAAAATATGGAGATTAAAGCAGCATTTGTGGGAATTTCTTGAAACCTATTCTAAGTAACTAGTTTTGACCATGTTTTTTCCAATTCATCAAACCATATCTGCCATGGTAACATGGTATCTGGCAACATCCATGCCATAATGCGAATCCTTAGTATCTCAATCCATGCCACTCGAATGATGACCATCCCCAAATATGGGCAATTTATCCGGAAAAAAAAACGTGACACACACCGTGTTTGTTACAAACAAGGGGAAATTATCACTTGGTCACCATCGTTTCAATTTGGGCAACAAGCCACCAAAAAAATCATGAAAATAAGTTAAATGTGCGCTAAACCTGGGTTCCCAAAATGCGATGACTGCAAACATATCCAGCTGGTAATAGTAATGTTCACTAACTTGAAAATGGTTGAAATGTTGGGCCATTTGGGAATGATTCCGTAAATCCAATTCCCTTCAGTCCAATTCTGTCACGAAGTGAGGCTTGTGTGCACTGCGAGCAAGCAAAAAAGCCACATATGGCATCTGGCATCTGCTGGGCCCATATTTTCAACACCTGTCGGGTGGTGACACGGCTCCACCATCTCGTACTGAAAGCACCGTTATCGGCCTTGAAGGCTCGATGTCTGCCCTCCTGCTCCCGTTCCAATAATTAAACTGACTTCAGGGCAGCAAGCAGCAAGACCATTGAAGGCTCCTGGGAGTTTGAGTCCTGCAAAAACCTTCCTTGCAAGAGCATGGCTTGCAATCAAGGTGGCTGAGGCCCTCGTTTCAAAGCTGCTCTTGATGACCCCCTGTCTCCCGCTCCTTGTGATCGCTGCGCACATGTAAACCATGCAGAAAGCCTTCCTGACTTTCCAAGAATCGCTGGTATCCCAATCAGGATGTTGAAGGAAGCCATCCGAGGGTCAAACAGGTTGCGCGTGAAGGACCACATGTAGACCGAGGAGAACTGCAGCGATGGGCTTTGGACCAGAATTCTCTGTCCATCGATCCCAATGTTGACCACTCCTTCACCACAATGTCCCTTATTGACCATCATTTCCAGTGAGGTCGCAGTGAGGCCGTTATAATTTACCCAGATATACTGGTTGGTGGTTTCAACCCCTCTGAAAAATATAGCCGTCAGTTGGGATTATTATTCCCAATATATGTGGAAGTCATAAAATTCCATGGTTCCAGTTTCCACCAACCAGAGATTTTTTTTACTTCTACCGCGCGTTGATTAAATATGAAATCCAACGTGTTTGATGGTCATCCACCACCACGCGGTGAAAAGCTCCTGGCTAGAGCCAAATCGACCTGCCGCTGGCCACCGTGGCCACCGTGGCCACCGTGGCCACCGTGGCCACCGACAACGGCAAGGAGAGGCCAGGGCAGTGCGTGTCGGATCTAAGACATGTAGTGGAAAATTTGGGGGATATCATGGGGATATATTATATGTATATATATATATATAAATATTATATTGATATGTATATATATATATATATATTGATATATATATATATATATATATTGTATAAATTTATATTTTTTTTGTGACACATTCTTTGCGCGGGAATTCACGGTGAAGACTACCATACTTGGATGTTTTTATCGTCAGATGCATCCCCAATCCCCACCTGCACGTTCCGCTTCGCCCGGAGCGGTAGGACGAGTGTTCATCACATCCTCGGACCCAACCCCCAAGGTGTAAGTCTCTGGGATATGAATGGGATATGGAACAAATTATCAGGTAGTGCCCGGCCTGCGGGACGTTTGGAAAAAACTGGTTATAAGAAATCAATGGCCTGTAGGAAAGTTTTTGCGATGCAGAAACAATAAATTGTTGAAGGTGTGAGCTGCATAAACGAATGAGCAAATGGAGGTTGAGATGCGAATGAAAGGACATGAAATAATCCACGCACAACTGATCCACTGAACCAGAATATCACAGAATCAATGAATGAAAGAAGTCATGAGTCGATGAACCATTGAATCAAGGATTCAGTGAATCTTCTGTCAATCGAAGCTTTTCTGAATCTTTTTGTGGGCTGTGCTTGAAAAAAACATGTGAAACGTGAGTAACTGCGGCTGACTAACATGGAAAACATGGTTTGTTTTGTTTTGTAAAAGATTGAGAATCAAATGGTGTGGAACCTGCTTACTAAGAGTGACCGCAAGTCTGACTCTCTTGGAACTCTTTCAGGAGCACAACTCTGAAGTTTGCAACTGGTTTGTAAGTAATTACTTTATGTGGGTGTGGGTTTCTCATGGTTTGACTGCTGTTGCACTGGTGAATGCTCCAGCACAAATTTGTGTGTGTTCTTGCTGGGATCAATTCATCCTCTTGTGTGATCTTTGACCTCTAGAGCTACCGCTTCGAAGTGGCCGAAACTAAAAATGACACTTTCGGGTTGTCAAACATGGTCCAATTGGGAGGAGACGATTTTTTTTCGCGCGGGATTGATCGGAATGGCCGTGATACCTTCCAAAATCCCCTCAGCAAATTTCATGCAATGCAATGCTGCATCCCCTCATGGGGTTCCTCACCAATCGGTCAATGAAGATCTCTGGCATAGTCTACAAGAATCATTCACAGTACCATTCACTAGGATGTTCATCCTACTTAGTGACTTGGAGCCAAGGTGCTCCGATGCTGCTGTAGCCACGATCATGCAGGGCATTGTAAGGAACCTGAGGGGAATCAAACACATTCCACAACTGGACATGAAGGTAACAGTGACTGTGGTGAACAAGCGAGGTGCACATGCTCCATGTCTGGTGTGTCTAACCTTGTGCACCTATATTTCTGCAATGTGTACTATGCCTGGACATAGTGACATTGTAAAGGAACTGGGTACCCTATGGTGCCCTCTGGTAATTTAACAGGTTGCTATTGAACATTGCCCATAGAAATAGTTGATTTACCTATTTTTCAGATGGTGATTTACCTATTTTCAGATGGTGATTTTTCCCTATTTGGTTTCCCAGCGGACTCACCAGGTTTCCTCCAAGAGGCTTGATGTTCGTGAATGTATTGCCAAACAGTGTCCAGATCCCAGAAAGCCAGAGGATTGATCTTCAGTCTCCTTAGTGCCAGAGCTTGACTGAGCCCTCCAAACTCTAAAGGATGCAGAATCCCAACAAACTGAGGATTTCAGACGTTTACCCTCTGGTGAACTGACATAGCTATTGAAAATGGCCATAGAAATAGATGATTTCCCCATTATAAATTGTGATTTTCCATAGTAATGTTAGTTTACCAGAGGTTTCCCATATGTATTCGAAGTATTTCGAAGTTATCCCAGATCACCACATGAAAAACCCTCTGATGACTTCACCTGGCCATGAAAGAATGTAATGGAGGATTCTCTGGAACGTCACCTTGCTTTACCAGAGACCGCGCAACAAAAATATCAAAAATGAAGATGTTCACCAACCGCCTATTGTTAATCATCGGGCGGCTGTCACGGCATCCTGGATTCCTGTCGTTGTGCAGCACCTTTCCGTTTTCCGCCCTTCCTTGAAGACGTTACCTGTCATCGTGGAATCACGGGCTCCACAACCGGCCCCAAGTCACGCAGATGGTCTATTTACAGTGAATCTAAGTAGTCCACAGCATTGGTACTTGCTCCATGGTCACCATTGACAGAAGATCTGATGTTCCTCGACGCTGATCCAGTGTTTATCTTGTGGAATTCCGTCCACAGCCCCGAAAACAAGCTTTTGAAGCAATTCTTTGCTTCTCGGGGCTGTGGTAGGATCTGACAAGCACGTTTTGTATTCATTGGCTGCTTTTGCAATTCAGTCCGCAGCCCCGAAAACGAGCTTTTGGAGCAATTCTTTGCTTTTCGGAGCTGTGGTAGGATTTGACAAGCACGTTTTGTATTCATTGGCTGCTTTTGGAATCCCGTCCACAGCCCCGAAAACGAGCTTTTGGAGCAATTCTTTGCTTTTCGGAGCTGTGGTAGGATCTGACAAGCACGTTTTCTATTGATTGCCATGACTGCCGACAGAACCCGGGCCAGAACCCGGACCGGCCCGGACCCGACCCGAACACGCGCACCCGACCCGGACCGGACCGGGCGAACCCTGATCATCATATATCAACATCTCATATTATTCTATTGTATCATTCATATTCATTCATATTGCATCATTTCATATGCCATCATTGCATGTTGTATCATTTCATCTCATATCGCAGCGTATCATCTGATATCGTTGCATATCGTTGCGTATCACACTATACTGCATTACGTTCTGTGGTATTATCTTTGACAATTTATCACTGCAGTGTCAATTGAGAAGTCCCGGCATCCCCAATTTCGTCGCAAAATCCCAACTATGTATACCTATTCTACAGATCGACAACCCACTTTCCACTGCTCCCAAGCTATTGGTAAAATCATGCAAAATCTCAATGTTAATCCCAACTCGAAACCAACGTTCTCCACAAATCCCCAACAACTTCGCTAAAAATCATGAGAGCAGTGTTCAAGACCTTCTGTCATTCAATTTGTCTTGTTAATGTAAACTCTGGATTAATAAACCCCTAGGCAATTAATTGGTGGGTACCATTTAAGTATCAGATTGTCAGTCTTTGGGGAATACACCCTTAATTCATGGTTTATTAATCCGGGGTTGACATTAGTTAATTAGGATTCCCAGAATGGATTATGATAATCCAAGGTGTTTTTTGGGGTACTGTAATCCCCGAACTAATCATAAACCAACAAGAGTGTCTCACAGCCACTGCTCAATAAGACCTCCCCAGTTTCGCCTGGTTTTCGACCCAGTTTCCCCCAAAATCACCATCAAATCACATTGAATGCCATAAATTCATCATTCTTGCTTAGTTGCTTCCAAAAAATGGTTATTTCACTTCAACTTCCCCAAAAAAAGATCCCATTTTTCCTGCCGATGTTCAGCCTTTCAGCCGAGCTTCCCCGCATCTTTCTCCAGCATCTGCATCTTCTCCCTCTGCGCCCCCTGCGACCTTCGGCGCCCCGTGATCCACACTGCGGGGCCCAAGAAACGCAGGGCCCGCGCCGTGGGTTCTACCTTGGTGAGGTAGCTGTACCTGGAAGATCTGAAGCAGGGGGCTATATGAGCTATGGATAGCTATGGAATACCTACAAAACTGGGCCAGTTTTTGGGGTTGAACATACATGGAGCATGTGGGATCATGAAAAAATCCAGATGCTTTTGGGGTTTAGAATAACTGTTAATGGCCATTTACCACTTCTAAATGGTTTTAAATGAGGTTATCATTACATGAATGGGGTTATAACTGGTTTAAAACTGCCAAACAAACAACTAACCACAACAACTCGAATATAATGGGAATATCATGGGGACAATAATTGGACATAATTGGGATATCTTTTTTCGGCAAACCATCAATCTGGTTTTGTAATATGGTTTTTCAATGTTATTGTGGTGCTATAGGGATAACAATGGCATAATCATAGCGATACAGTGGGAATAGGCCCTGTGGTGAAGCCCCCAATGACGCACAGAGAAGTTTTAAAAAAGGGTACTTATCATCTCTATATAAATAGGTTTTTATGATATTCTATGGAATTTTAATGATAATATACTAGCGAATACCCTCTGGTGTCATCAAACGACGGCTAGGTGGAAAATCCCCGAACTCAACGGAGGTTTCAATTGGCAAACGCTGTGCTCTACAGAGTCGAACCATTGAACTGGCAGTGCAACCATCTTGACAAGGATATCACCACACAAAAAAACGTATATTTTTGTTGATTTGCGGGTTTTTGCGGACATTTTGACGTTTTATTTTTGATATTTTTGCGGGTTTCTAAGGCGGGTCAAGTTTGTTTCTCTAACTTGGGCCACAGGAGCAATGGGCTTCAGGAAAAACAACTGCTGTTTTCATGCCTTTTCAGAAGCATTTTCCAGGAGACTTGGTGAACTTAGGTGTTTTCATGAATTTCAAGGGGATTTCCGCAAAATGTCAGCAAACACTGAGGTTCACTGAAACTTTCTAGGATTTGGATGCTTCAGGTATTTTTTCATTATGATGGATTTTCGATTGCCACGTTTGATTGCCACATTTGGGTAACCGTTTTTCAGTGAGAATAGCATGGAGAATTGCCACGTTCCCGAATATTTTTTTCCTATTAATGATGATGGCTTCCAGCTAGTTCATCTCCCCTATTACCCTGGAAAATATTCCATTTATAGATGGTTTACCTATTAAAAATGGTGATTTTCCATGGCTATGTTAAATAACCAAAGGGTAACTAGTTCAATCTATGGATTACCCTCTGGTAAATTAACCAAAAACGATGGAAAATCACCATGCCATCAATGGTTAAATCCACTATTTCTATGGTAATTTTCAATAGCTATTTTGACATAACCAGAGGGTATCTATTTCTTCGAGAAGAATTAGACAATGAGACCGTAACCAAAGTTAACCATGAATTGGGATATATGATCCATATAATTGTGACATATGATGGATGAATCACAATGGACGTTTTCACAAACCATTTATATAACCTGTATGTGGATGCAATGGGAATGGTTTAATTGATATTCATGGAGGTTTTAATGAGCATAGAATGGAACATATTGTAATATGAGGGGGATATCATGGGAAATAATCTGGACATTAGGGGCAATCCTGGCATAGTATTAATATGGCAAATTGTAGGATGCTTGTAATAATCTGATACATCATTCGGGGCAATTCGGGATATCATGGTGATATATAAGCAACAATCAACAATAATGGGGAATAGAATAGAAATGAATAGAATACAGTATAATATTGGGACATGAAGCAAACAATGACCACAATGGAAATATAGTTGAACCATATGTTCATCTCCCCATGCTTGTTGTTTGTCCGGATTTTGGTTTGTTCATATCCCCATTTTTTTTAATGGTTGCAAGGTGGACCCCCACAGGTATGTGTGTTGGTTTCTAAGAGTCATGAACTATTACTGGTTGGTGGTTGATGAAATATGACTTCGTCAGTTGGGATGATGAAATTCCCAACTGAATGGCAAGTCATAAAATTCATGTTCCAGTTTCCACCAACCAGAATCAATTACAATTATATCCATAGGTCCATAACTATGGAAAATCACCATGTTCAATGGAAAAATCCACTATAAATCACCATTTTCAATAGCAAACTGTTAGTTTACCAGAGGGTACATCTGACATCAAGTCTAGTTATTCTAGTTGACCAACGTTAGCGTTCACGAACTGGGCTATCGCGGCATTACCTTGTAGTAAAGGAAAGTTGACCGTTGACCATGCGCTTTCTTTATGGGGAGAAAGTGGGGATATATCTTGATGAATGGATATCAATAGGAAATTGTGGGAATATTCTTGGGATTAAAAAATGGATTAGAATTGGATATAATGGAGATATAATGGAGATATGTTTACTGTGAAACAATCACAAATTCATACAAATTCTGGATGAACCATTAACTATTTTCATGATCATCCCAGCTTACTGGTGCAAAACTTACGTCGGGAATTTTCGGGAATGATCCACAACGGCTAACTAAACTATTTTCATGATCATCCCAGCAATCCCCAGCAACCCATCCAGCAACCCTACGTAAAACGCACGCACCAGTAAGAAAATTTGATCGGCAAAATTGGATAAGTAATATATAATAACAATGTGTATTTATTATTCTTGTTTATATGTTATTGGATAAGTAACAACCGACACATTGCTGGATGAAACTAAAGAAATAGCAACGGTCATCGACAAAGTTTTTGAGATAGAAGCAGGAAACACGAACGGATGAAGATGATCAGATGGGAAGAAACATGCAAGGATACCAACAGGTAATTTAACAAAAGAAAAGGGGAAACTGAAGAAGTGGAGTCAAGCATGTTGAGCAATAAAACAAACAGAACACACAGAATAACAACAACATCAACGTCAACAACAACAACAGCAGCAACAACAACAGCAACAACAACAACAACAGCAGCAACAGCAACAACAGCCATGAGGCTATGGCAATCACTTTGCTCACGGTATTGTTTAGACATCACTTTCCATTGCCCTTTTGGCGTTCCAGGGCACTTTTCAAAGTCATTCTTCCACAGATCTTTGCCGTAGGATTCCTTGGGTTGGCCGGTCTGAAGGATTCATCGCCAGGAACTGTACAGCAACTTTCCGGGAATTTCCATAGGTTGGTGGTGCAATAACCATCTTGAAAAATGATGGAGTTCGTCAATGGGAAGGATGACATCCCATATATGAAATGGAAAATATATGAAATGTTCCAAACCACCAACCAGTTTCCATAGGTTGAAGAATTCACACGTGACACGTGACTGTACCTACTGGAAGAAGTATCCCTGCTGAATCTCATCGAATCTGTACGATGTGCCAAAAGCTGGCACCGTACCAAATGTCCCAAATGACGATGCGACGATACATCGAAAAATCCTACTCCCCGAACTGGTTTAACGGAAACAAAGACAGAACACCACCATATTAAGGTAAGGAATGGCAAAACAATGATTTCGATCAGACTTTGACTGCAAATTGATCCACTGACAAAGGTCTTAAACATATATTCTTCGCTTCGGCCAAGTTTGAGACCACCGTATCGGAAAGAAAAAACATGTAGGACACCTGCCAAAACATCAACATCTTCATCACGGTGGTTGCATCTCATGAGAATCAGTGTCATCATTTGAGCCTTTAAAAATACCCCTATCCCATCTCATTTAGTACTAGTTGGTTGAAAACTGTTTCCCAATCCCATGGGTTATTATAATCCCCAGTAAACTAGGTAGTTTGTTTAATCCCCTATAGCAATCAATTAACCAGGGTATTGTTATTCCAATTATTAACCATTATTAACCATAGATTAACCATAGATTAACCATGGCTCATTTCTCTTTTGCGTTGGGTTCTCTGTATTTCGTGAGATGCGCAGAAGCAAAAGGACATGAGATCTTCGTGCCAACAAATCGACGCTGAAAAAGGTAAAAAAAAACTGGTTAATCTATGGTTAATAATGGTTAATATATGGTTATTATATGGCTAATAATGGTTAATAATAACCTGGTTGGTGGTGCAATAACCATCTTGAAAACTTTGAGTTCGTCAATGGGAAGGATGACATCCCATATATGAAATGGAAAATAGATGAAATGTTCCAAACCACAACCAGAAAAACATGGCAATTGAAAGTCCAACATATTCTTAGTTGATGTTCCAAATATAAACATCCATGGCTAGTTCAGGGATTTCCCAGCGAACCACGTCAATGATGACACCGTTGCGGGTATAACCTTCGACCAAGCTTTCAGATTGCTAACCAGTGTCATTTGACCTTCTCTGGGGGAGGTTTCCTATCTGACAGGTAACTGGAAGATGATGGTCATGTGAGTCATGTTTAAATATGTTTAAATAGTATCATACCAAGATATACCAAATAAAACTCCTGAAAACATCTTCTTTGAGATGCAGGCTGCAGGCTGCGGCGGCTGGTCTTATGGATGTGATTTAAAGCTCCAAAACCAATGCTGAAATATGGATATATGGAGGTTAAAATCCCGTATATCACAACTTGGGCTAGACATGGCTAGACTCTCAAAAAAACTATGCTGCAAACAAAGAGCTGAAATATGTTCCGCTTAGAAAACGTATGGTTCCACGTTTTGTTAGAGCCATCTATGTTCAAAACGATGACCATCCCCCAAGGCCAGCGTCGTTTTTTTCCATGTTTGAATGGTCAAAACTGGGCCCAATGATTGGATGATGAAAAAAAATAAACAAAAAAAAATCCTCAAATCTGTGGTCAGGGATTCAATTAAAATTCACTCCATTGTGGATTATTATGGGATTCTAACCTTGCGAAAAGTTACCACCAAATAGCAACCAGGGATCGTCGAAGCGGCTTCCCTCACCTTGGAATCGAAGATTCCCTTCTGGTGGATGAACCAAATGGCAAGTTGGGAAGATGCAAATTTTCAAACACGATTCAAGCGACTCGGCAAAATCAAAAATCTAGGCGAAACAAAGAACATCAAACAACTCTAAGCAAAGTCTGAGTCATAGGGTGGATTAGGGGCCCATAATGTTCCAATAAGGTCCTTACAAGAAGATACCATAAGCCACTGTAAGATCTGAGTCACCTTTCAAGAAGTCTTTGGGATAGAAAATCGACAACTTCCTGGGCGAAAAGGACGAACGGATGTGAGGCTCGGCGCTCGGAACGTGCTTCTCTGGAACGGGCACCAAAGGATAGTTCAGTTGGTGGAAGGAACTAGGGTCAAAATGATTCATTGGGTGTGTGTAATTTATATATATATATATAATTATATATATATATGAAAATTGTCATCTATAGTTAGGTTCTGTTAGATGGAATTGTAAACCAACTTTTCATCGTCATGGTTATAACTGGGAGTGGGGCTTCCTCTACGTACAATTTACCCCAGCTTGGACTGAACCAGGAGAGCATCCAGTCAGGTATCAAACATCTACATGCCACCGACAAAATCGGTGATTGGGAAAGAATGACTGATGTACCTAGTATTCCTGTGCACGCATTATGTATATATAATATGATATAATATAATATAATTTAATTTAATTTAATATAATATAATAAAATGTAAATATAATAAAAATACAATATAAATATAATATAAATATAATATAAATATAATATAAATATAATATAAATATAATATAATAAAATGTAAATATAATAAAATGTAAATATAATAAAAATATAATAAAAATATAATATAAATATAATATAAATATAATATAAATATAATATAAATATAATATAAATATAATATAAATATAATATAAATATAATATAAATATAATATAAATATAATATAAATATAATATAAATATAATATACTATTAGTATAGTATAGTATAGTATAGTATAGTATAATATCATATCATATCATACCTGGGAATTCCGACTATGTAAAATTTCTGCCTTTTGCTGAAAAGGCAGAACTTTCAGTCGTTTCAAACGAGAAACGTCCGTTCAGTTGAGAACTGCCTTTTCCAAGAATGTGATGGGGAAAAACGCCGCTGAGAATCTCGCTCATTCCAAGAAGGATCAAGATATGTGGTGGTGATTGCAACAAAGTCAACATAAGCACAATGCTTACATCAACAGGAGAAATCTGGAGAAATTGAATGAGGGTTGACAGCATAAACCTCAACATCATGTGATCGACTTCACTCTAAAAACATAAGTCTTGCAATGTCTTGCATGTGATGGCTCATTATGGTTCAACTGGAGGCCAGGTACCCTGATGTGTTGGGAAATGTTGGGAACACACCTTTTTTTCTCACTTCCGGCGGCGATAGCGGGTGTGAATTGCCTTGCATTTGGTGAGATATAGTTCGAGAGTCCTTTGAGTGGTGAGTTTTGCTGACACTTTTCGGGACAATCTTGCAATCTTTCCGATCACATCTTCATTCATTTCCGCGCCAAATATCAGAGGGTTTGGAACCCACTCCACTGATTCATCTTGAAGTAGCAATGAGATTTCGTGCTTGGTATGGGCCATCATGTGATACTTGGATTTCATTCCAAATCCAGTGAACTGAAAAGAGTACATGCTGAAGAAAGCCAACGCATTGTAGTGCCCCAAGAATTCATGGATGTGTTGATACACAGCCATCGCACAATGGCGGCGAAGCCAGTTTCCATGGGAGTACAAAACCTTTTGCCAGCCAAGCACGCATCTTGCTGACAGGTTCATGTGCTTCAACATCCTCAGGTGGGAAGGGTCTACGGGATCATTCAAGAAACCTTGTGAGGCAATTGCTAGCCATTTGACTAGCAATGTGGTATCACTGCCTTTGGAAGAAATCCAACCAAAGTCTGATTGGGTCTTCGCATTGAGAAATGATGGAGTGAAAGATCGGAGAGCAGCTCGCTTTCCAACTGTCTTTTGCCAAAACAGAAAGCTAGCATGGGCCCGCTCCAGGCATATCTCGCGCCTGTTGCTTTCGTTTGGATCCTCAGAGTTCCAGTAGCCCAATTTTACAAGCAACAAAATAGATGATCCAACGTAATCTCTCAGAATGCCAACTTTGCTGTTGTGAAATATGTCACGCCGCAGTACCATCTCAGGTTTCCCACGGGCATCTTCAGGTTCAAATGGAATCATAGCAATGCTTGGGGGTTCATCCCAAGGACGTTGTTGGTACAGTGAGTTTCCCCAACTCGGATCATGGCCAAAATCTTCAAATGGTTTTTCTGGTGTTCCTGCGCCACATTCGTGGCACATTTCTAGACCACTTCCAATTTGACGATTGAAGCATCTTTTGAGCCCAGCTATTTTTTCGTACCACTTCAAATCACCCTTCAGTCCTGTCACCCCGACGAAGTAAGGTTGCCCCTTGACTTCGAGACCTTCCTCGAAGAGCAGGCGGAAGTCTTGGGAAACTTTCTCGATCACTACATCCAACGCATCCGTTTCCTTGCACAAATTGTTGGGTAAAGCTGCCAAACAGAATTTGGTCAAGAACGAATTTGACTTGGTGTTGTGAGTTTCATAGGAGGCTGGAACTGCATCGCTGTTCCTGACATTCGCCGGCATGTAGCCAGAATTTGTTCTGAATCTCTTGGCAGTGCTGTGGTTCAGTTTGCAATCACAAACATTGTCCAAACGCCTTTTCTTCAACATGTTCTCTGCAGTCTCCACACCTATGTTTGATTCAAACATCAATATGGCCGTGTTGCCCTTTTTCAAACCTCTTCCCTCATCTCCGTGAAAAGAAACACATAGAGTATTGGACCGGGTCCGATGTGGGTGGACCTCCTGAAATAGACGGTGTGTTGGATGAAACTTCTCGTAGTTGTCCCAAAAGCTTTTCAACTGCTGACCTCCCTGTGCATGGGATTCACTGCCCCCAAAGAGTAGCTCAGGAGCCTTCTCCAAAAGAAATCCAATGAAATCAATTGGGCTGATGTAGTGAACCATGACGGTGTCTTCATTGCCATCAAGATAGGGAAATGATCGAGTTGGAACTTTCCATGTCAAACCCCAGCGACCGATGAACCTGCGTGTGTCTCGTGCGTGGTTGTTGCCTTTGCCTGACAGGCTCTTGTCGCCTACCAAGCTCCGAGCTTCCCGGTGCACCGTTTGCAGTCTCGCCGCTGGAGCCTGGGAAAGTGGACTAGTACCCCAAAGTTAAGACTCCCCTAAAACTGAAGAATTTTGGAAGATGGGATTATAGATTGATATCTCACCGAAGTACCACTGCTAGGCAACATGAGAAAGTGGAACAAATGGGGCCCAAACCCCATCAGCAATGATTTCTGCATATTCTTCGGCTAGATATACTTCATCACGATCAGGACCTGGCATCGCAGTTGTTGAGCTACCAACACCGAACCAAAAACTAATGGTACCATACTTAGAGGCTTAGAGAGAAGAAGGTAGAGAAAGATGTTGGAAATGCTGATCAATGCATTTGCATCAACAAAGTTGGATACACCACCAGAATGTAAACTGTTTTGTTTTCAGAACGCAGTTCGTCCCAGATTGAAACGGTCTCGCAGATCTAATGCCTCAGCTTAATTTGAACGAAGCATGTTGAGCACGCTTTGCTCACATGTATAGGCACTGGCTTCTCACCCCACTTTCAAGGTAAGGATTGTTTCAAATGGTTTTGAAGTAGCACGAAGCCCAGAACATTTTGCATTGTAAAACCAGAGGACTTATGGGCGGTGTTGTTTTTGTGAATTAAATTTCAGGATTATGGGACTTGAAAACCAGAACCCATACCCTCTCCCCAAAAAGATTCACACGCTGGAAGTTGCCAGCGTGAAGGGATCACCATGGATCACCTAAGACTCCAGAACTCTTCGAAAGCATCAAAGCCTACTTATGTGGCCTTTTGCCAGTCGCTGGCATGGCAGGTGCTCCTCCTTTGGAAGCTGCTTTTGCCTTAGCTGCACCCTTAGCTTTGGCCTTGGCGGCCTTCGATTTCACCCTCAGTCCGCCGGGCTTTTCAGTCTTTTCAGCCGGTGCCTTCTTTGGAATGAAGGGCCTCCCAGCAACAAAAAAAAGAATTGGAGATACTGTTGGAAATACGTTTAAGTCTCTTAGTGCAATGGTTTATTGGATATTTTTTGATGACATGTGGCTACACATGATGGATTTCGCACCTGGCTCGCGCTTCCAAAGATAGGCTTTTCGCAGCCCTGAATAGGTGGATTGGATTTGGAAATCAATTGCCTTACCAAGCTTTGGTTTAGTATGGTTTATCAAGTGCCCCTCCAAAAGCTGAGAATCAAACTCCGCACTTGCAGATTCCATCCTGCTTCGCAAGTCGGCTTCCACCCTGGGCGATGGAGTCTTGATAGGATGTGACTGTATGACGTGAAACTCCGTAGGTTCCATGACTCTACTTTACACATAAAATTTGGTTTGCAACATTGATATATGCTAAGTATTCCACTTTTTGGTGTAGCCAGACACCACCCCCTGGGAATAGAGTTCAGACAAATCCCGGTGATCTTTCTCAAGAGCGTTGATGGAGTTGACAATGGTCTCCTTCAACCTGGGCAATTGAGTAGGCATGTGTGGGTTATGTAATATGTAGTGAAGTAAAACAACACCATTGATGTCTGTGATTTGATAAGTCGGAGCCAGCTAATTCACACCCAAAGACTTCGTTTGGATGTCCGACAGCTCTTTGTCCTCGAACTTTTGAAGCAGCTGCTGCACCTTTGTCAACCGCTTTGCCAAAGCAGTCCTTAAGTGATGGAGACATCAAGGTTATTTACCCCCCCAAAAAAATATGGCTGACCACAATGGAGCGAGTTATAGTGAGATTTGGTGTTCAATAATGTTTGTATTTACAATTGAGTCTGGGCACAAGTATTTCTGGACGTGGCTGCTCGGAAGGGCATCAGGATCCAACTCTGGGATACCCAAACTCTTTCGGTTGGTCACTTGCTTTTCCTTTTCAACCTCCTCCTCAACGTGTTCTTCATCCACACCTTCGAAAGATAAATGGAACAAACAACAGAACACACACACACACACATACACACACACACCTTCAGCAGCAGTTGGAAGACATGCGCACAATCAGTATTGTGGTATGGGATGATATACAAACTGGATCTAGGTATAAATGATCACAAGGTGGGGTTGTGCCTATGTCCGAGTCATCGTCATCATTGCCACCATCATGAAGGTCCATGTTCATGTTTGAGACCCCACTCTCCTCAAATTTTGCTCGCTTGTTGATCTCCAATCGGGATGCTTTCCTGGAAAGCAAACGGTAGATTTGGGGATTCAGGGATGCATAGGTGCCAGTAGATGGGAGGACAACAATCCTGAAAACTTGCTTTCAAGAAGCTTGGACTTCGTCTTGACACTGATCTCGCAATAGTATCGCATGGTCTTCTCGTAGAGGTCACGCCTGTGCCAGCTCTATAGTAAGACCGAGTAAGACACCAGGATTGGAAGCACAACACAACAGGATTGGAAGGGTAAGACACCACGATTGGAAGGGTAAGACACTAGGATTGGAAGGGTTTCAAAAACTCTGGCCTCATGAGCTTTTTTGGGTTTGTGACACAGTGCTTCTTGATGGCCTCAATGCGAGACCTTGGATAAACATGGCTGATAAACAGTTTTTTTGAAACGTCTATTCTGAAAAACTTTGGACAACTGTAGATCTGTAGTGTTCCGCTAGTGGTTTAGAAAAGTGACGGTGTCATTCCTCGTGATTCCATTTCATCATGGGTCAAGAATTCAGCTTCGATCTCGAACTCTGTCGATTGCATCTCAGAACGAAGAATTTCGACTTCGGCCACGAAGGTATCCTAGGATTCAGCACAATGGAGTTGCAGAAGCTAATGGAGAAAAACACAATACATAATCATTCTTGAATCTAAATATACCCGCAAAAACTTTATACACAAAAAATAGAAACCCATATTCAGATAAAGATTCTGGATCATATCCACATTGCTTAAAGATTTGTTCCAGGTTCTTCCGAGGCTGCCCTTTGGAATGCCACTCCTTAAAGACCGTCTCAGACACCTTCTTGCTACCATCAACTCGGGGCGTAAAAATACGCCTTGCTCGGCAACGAATGGCGTTTTCTGAAAGGTGGTGTTCATGCTTCTCAAACTTCGGGGCATGGGTGTTGCCATATTCAGGGATCTCATCCCCTGTGTCTGGAAAGTCACCAAAGATGCCAACATCCGTGTAAATGTCTTGTGGTTCCTTTTTTTGGGCAACACTACCAGGAGCACTCTCTGCAGGGGTGCTTGGGGAATACCTCAAAGTAGCCGCTTTGGGACTGGGACTCTCATCACTCTCAAGATCGATTGTTGTTCTCACATCTGGTGACCTGCTGGCATTCGCTAAGGCCGGCTGCTCAACTTTGCTCTCCTGGGGTTTCAGGCTGCGAGCTGGTGTTGGTTGGGGCCGGTCGGAACGAAGATCTTGAAGATATGTCTGTAGTACCTTGGTATTAGGAAGTTTGCTACCCACTTCAGATGAAAGTATGAGGATATATAGTCATAGACTTGGTGGATTCCATCGTAATGATAATAACTGATGGTCCCCCAAATATCACAAAAGTAACGCTAATAAAACCTTCTGTTTAGCAAATGTCAGAGTACGTCGAGTTCGTCCTTCAATTCACCCTGAGGTGGTACACTGAACTGATCTCGTGTTTTGTCTAGCAACTTGAGTCCATCATCTAGACTTGACGCTGACCAAGCTCTACTCTGAAGGGGCACCATGCTGCAACCCAGCGCTCAAGTCCCACTATAAGTATTGGGCCAAATCACCTCTCGAAGGGAGATCTGAAAATGAATGGACTATAGATTGATGCTTCAAAACCACACATTGCGCGTGCCTCAAAAACCAAAAACAATTCAGAACTTCATTTGGTGATACTCAGTGGTTCTATGTGGTTCTGATGCTTTCCCAAGATTGGTGCTCATCATGCCCACCAAGCCACCCCGCAGTTCTCTTAGATAAGATGTATCTCTTCATTCTTTTGTGTGGTTTGATAGTGGTTTCTGTTCCCCATCTCTCCCCAATACAATACACATTTCAACCAAACATGGAAGCATCGATCATGTTGTTTTAAATCAAATTATGCCAAAGTTCCGGTCAACCAGTCAAAGTGATGTATTCCCGTATAATATTGGAATAGTTTCAGAGAACACTTTTTCTGAAGAGCATTTTTCCTTGGCAACCAATACCCCAATGCCATAATTTCAGATGTTAAGCATGTGGGTTGTGTAATTACCACTTGCATGGACAAAGCTGATCGTTGCAATTGCAACGGCAGTTCCTCGCCCAAATTGTTCTATCTGAAACGACCTAATTGGTTCTGCCCCATGTGAAATTCTTGGAAATCTTTGGTCGGGTAAAGTCGCCTTTTGGTCGGGAAAAGTCGTCTTTTGGTCGGGCAAAGTCGCCTCTTTGAAAAATGATAATTTTTTTGAAAACTCAAAAAACCTATATTTTGATTACTTTGTGCAGTCAGAATTTAATTCCAGCTGTTCACCCATCTAGTTTCACTTGTTGGGGCAGAAATGGTCCACATTCATCAGGGATTGCCAATTTGCGGCAACCACGCAGGTATTCTACAACCAGCCCAAGATTTGCTTCACTCCAGGATCCCTCAGGCATCGCGCCAAACAGCTCTGGGAGCGGGGTATCCATGTCCACCTGAGAGAGACGGTCCAGCAGGAAAGACAATAGCAGGGGGTTCAACTCAAACAGGCATACAAAAATGGTTTTATAACATTATTATTTTGGAATGTTATTTTACACTGTTGTAAAGGGTATTTTGAAATGATTAGCCAAGCCACTACTTTGTCCCAGGTGTGAGGTTCAGATTCCATGGAGGGTAGCATTTGTAGCAGAGCTTTCGCAAATCGTGGTGTATAGGTCCTGAAGTTGATTGATGGTCGATGCCCCATAGAAATTGCATTGGCAAATCGCTAAAAAAACTGATATATTATCCTGATAATGGTCTACTATCCTTTTACAGTCATAGATTCATAGGACATAAGTAGAGCTATTTTCAAAACGAAATTTATTGCCCAAGGGTCTGTGTAGACTTCAATTTGGGACTGCCTTTCCAACATGCCTTCCCTGCACGGTTCTTGTATTTGATCGCGGTTCGAAATGCCGCCTTTCTCACCCGTTTTTTGCCCACTGGCTGCAGCTGAGCCAACCCAGTGGTGTTGCCAACCAATAGGGTTCTCTTTGGAGTGGGATGTTTGAAGTCTTGCATCCACATGGATATTTGGTACACCTGCCCGGGGCAATCCATCCAGGGTGAAGAGATTAACGAACCAATGCAACAGTCTATGGGGCCCCCAGTGTGAAAATGCCTACGATGATTTTATTTTCATGTTTTTTGCCAAACATAGATATCCTAGATCATCCCAAGCCCTGCCTTGTGTCCAGCTGATCTAATCATACGAATTGCTTGCAGGAACCAGTTGAAGAGGAACATTAATGTCGATCCAGGATTCTCGAAGCAAAACTTGCCATTCATGCAAACGCACAGGATAGCTAACAGGGACATCCTGGATGGTTGGTAAGAGATGGTCTGGGTTTACCTGAAAATGGCTTGGGTTTCAACATGTTTTAATTTATATATAAAATTTAAAGGGGTTCTTTTAGGGAAACAAAGGGTCCAATGAGTACCAATCACAAACAGATTAGCTAGTAGGATCATGAAGTCAGGTGCTAGTATGTTGCAACAGAATTGAGAACCCTTTGGACATACCCTGCAACCCAGTCCTTGTAATTTGAATGTTACCCTTCCGAGTTGCCACAGAGCTTACATCGCCCCCTAGAACCAGTACGCTCCGTTTACTTGTTCCCCTGTTTACAGATACCCATGTAGAGCAAACAATTCCAGCCATCATGAAGAGGCAGCCAAAGCCGCTCGTGATGAGAGCCAGCACCATCAACCTGAGAGCAGGACAGCGAGGGGGTGTGGGGGCCTGATGTTCAGGAGCTACAGCTTAAAGTGCGCAATATCCTGGGATAAATTTTGATTAGTTTTTACCTACAGTGATATTATATATATATTATCACCTAGGTATATAATAGCAGAAACCCTCAAGAAATAAAGTAGTAGTGGCTAAATTCGCTGAGAAACACGAAGCCACAATGGCCATTGATGTCCATAGGGTGTCGCTTTTTCCCTCGAAATCTTCGCCCTCTCTTAGATGGCTTGGTACTCCCAAATTTCAAATCAAAGCTCCATGTTTTGAAGGCCAAATTGGAAGCCAACTTAGAGAGGTTGCCCTGCCCGCAAAAAAAGTCCAGGATTGTCCAATCCCCGACATACTCCAGCTTGACACACGACAACCAAGAGCACATGAGGACGATAAAGACAAAGTCCTGGGCTGCATGGTAGTGTGTTAAATATATAAAATACTTCACATTCAACATCTTGGTCCAATTCGCCTCGGCCAAAGCTAATTAATGTATTCCAAGTTTCTTTGGGTGTTCCTATGGATATCATACGGCGAATCACCAGATCAAACTCATCAGGCGTCATCACTACGCAGAGCTATCTCAATCCCCAGGGCTGGATGGAAAAATTCTGCGGTGCATATAGCAATATTTGTAAAGGCCATCATGCAGGTTAGCCAAGGCAGTGAACAACTGGATCAGAATAGATACACTAGCCAAAACTTGCCAGAAGTACTGTCACCGGAGAGCACCCCAAGGCTGGCGGGTCGTGCCTGCCCACGCTTCACTTTCATAGCTCACCTGCGTATGGGTGATGGGAGTCTTGCAAACAAAAACATTGGAACATTCTGGAACCATTATTAGCCATTGACCAAAGTAAGATGTGATACATCACGAGCACCTTTCCGTTCCATTCCGGTTGTTGATGTTCTTAGATATTCGTGGTAAAAATCCCGGCGCATTTTCGGGATGTGCAATGCTGCGAAGCTCAGCTATGATGTCCCCCCAATGTCCCCCAGCCTCGCTTGTGGTAAGCTACTGGGAAAATCAGCTACTCAATACCCTGTCTTGGCACTTGTTGGTACCCGACTGGTCCCGCAGCAAAGTTTGTGTGATGAATTTGATTCTAAGTGACCACTACTATACCAGTCTCCAACAGCCTAAGCCAAGCACAGAGACACAACCAGCCAAAACTTGTTTGGAACCGTTCCTCAAAACATGGTTTCACTGACGGAGAAATGGCTTCACAGCTTCCCCGGACATGAACTGGATGGCATTGTCAGCTGCAATCTTCTGGTATGCGGCAACGGTGTTGTCGTCACTCTTCACCAGGTCTTTGAAGGTGAAGTTCCACCAAAGCAACTCAAGGGCAAGTTTGTTCTCCAAAATGGATCAAAATACTTGGACTGTTTCGATTTGAAAGAGGAAGTAAAATCATGAGAGGATCATGTTGTTCAACATGCTGTAAATTGTATGTCGGTCTATTTCTTCGTATTAGTTTTTTGTCACCCCCACCTCGACTTGAGATGAACTCTTCAGAAAGGGCGCAATCTTGTCAGTGTAGGCCTTGAGGATCACCATGAAGCGGTTGTTGGCCTCCACAGACTTGGGTGCAGTCCGTGCAGCGAAAGTCACACGCTCCTTCTCGCCAGACTTTGTCTTCAAACACAGTGGCAAAGCTTGGCATCCCCTGGTAGTGACATCTGAGGGACGCCCATTCTTGCCATTGATGACCGGCTTCTCACTATCCTTGTTGGCATTCTTCTCACCCTTCTCCCCCTCACCACTTTCATCAGTCTTGCTCTTCTTGGCGCGAGCTTTCCTGATGGGTTTCTCTGGCTCTTCGATCTCAGCGTCATCATCAGCAGCATCAGAAGCTGCACCAGCGAAGCTATTTTCCAAGTCGCGCTTCGCCTCAGGCATGTCATCATCATTCTCGTCAGAGACCTCGTCCTTGTTGGTTTCCTTGGAAGCCCGGCGCTTCCTGCAAGCGGCTGGCTTCTTCAATCCCTTGGATCTCTTTGGTTTCTTTTCATCGTCAGCAGGTTTTCGACCTCGAGGCTTTCTGGGTTTCTTGGCGTTCTTGTAGGCATGTTGATCCTCTCGTGTCACCATGGGGACTGTGTCAATGTCAGCCTCCTCGCCAGGACTCATATGTTCACTTTCTTGGGGTGCAGCCGGAGCCTCAGTTGAGGATGATGCTGAAGAAGGCAACTTGTTCACCATGGAAACTGAAGCCTTGGAAGATTCATTCTCCTTGGGGCCCATGGGTTTTGAACCATCTTGGTCATCGAGTGCCACCTGCTCCAAGGCAGCACCAGGCTCACGCTTGGAACCCTCAACCTGGTGGGGAGTCCCAGATGATGGCTCTGCAGAAGCAGGTGGTTGAAGAAGTTTCCCTGACTGAACATGTTCGGGTGGAGTGCCAGGTTGGCTATCAGAATCAACTTCGCCCAAAACCAAAGTCTTCTTTCGCATCAACTCTGCAGTCTGGTCGGCATAGTCAACGTCCATTGGAAAGGTTTCGGCCAAATCAGGGCCTGAAGTTCTAAAGAATGAATCACTTAACAAACCCAAAAAGAGATCACCAAAATCTACATAGCTCAGCCATTCCCCATTTCCCAACCCCATTGATCCAAAACTTTGTTGTCGAAGTCCGAGATGCAAGGCCCAAGCACCGCTTCAACAGCGGCCTTGGCTTCGGCCTCAGCTTCTTCCAGAAGGCGCTTTGCTTCCTCCTGCTTCCTTGGCGGGAATCAGGAAGGAAGTTGAAAGGACCCCGAAGCCTCTCCAAACCCAATAAGCATTTGAAGTCTTTGGACGGTTTGGGGTGCTAGTGGCTAGTAATACTAAAACTTTGGCTATGAAAAGTGAGGAGATACAGGGAGATTGCTTTTTTTTTATGATAATGGTGTTGATTTGATATCGCCTCATTTTATGATTTACTTGACAAATAAAGATATAATAAAGATACAGGTATACAAAATATCTTGAGACTTGGGTGCATAATATATCAAACTGCGATGTGTAGCTGAGTTTCTTCAGCTGCGCAACCTTAGCAGTGACCAGCTGGATGTACTTGTCTTTCGTCCCAGGTGATGGCTTTGATGGCAAGGAGAAAGTCATGCCACCCAACACGAGGCGCTGGCCCTTGGGCTTCAAAGGGACCGGTGGGGGCGGCATGCTGTCCCTCTCAGGCTCCTTCACAGTCTCCTTGACCAAGACATCACCATCACCTTTGATTTCCTCGCTTTCAGTGGTTTCAGTAGGCAAAGCTTCAGACTCAGTCGAGACTGGCATGCTTTCCTCTGCCGCTGCAGGAAAGGGATCATGGGCTGACGGCTGGCAATCAGTCCAAAGCTGAGATTCAGTGGGCTGGCTGTCCACTTCAATGACCTCACTATGTTCACCATCGACCGTTTCAATAGGAACTAAAGGCGAAGGAGGCTCATCATCAATGTCAGTGGTCCCAACAGAAATCTCACCATCTGGAGTATCAGTGTCAATATAGCCGTCAGAATCCACCAAACTGGAGTGGCCACTGGGTGGATTGTTCTCAGCTTCCGCCCAAAAGGTTCGAAGGATGCCATAGAACTTTGCCAAGTTCGGATCCTAGAGCTGGCGTTGGTTGAATCCCATCATGTTGACTCAGTGTTGGACTAGCTTGGCTAATAATCACAATCCCAAAAACCCTTAATTACATAGATTAGGTGGTAGCGTGTTCGTTCAAAAATTCATTAAACATAGCTCAAGATTCGCGAGCTGTGACATTGCCATGGGAATTGCAAAACCGGCGAATCCCATGAGAGAAGAGCTTCTTCAAACCCTGAGCATCAACCTGGATACTGGCCGGATTGTCCTCCAAACCAAGTTCGTTTCGAAAGTGCATCACCTGGCAGGGTATGATTTTTTGAATGTATTTTTGATTAGGGCTGGGGTTAGTTATACATGGTTATACTATGTTATACTTTGATATAACTTGGTTTCGTTGTAAAAGGTTGAGTACAAATAACCATAGTTATTGCAGATGGTTTCGCAAAGTCGGCCTCATCTCTCATGATGTCAACGTTGATCATTTTGGGATAAGGCTGTGTTGGGCAATACCAGGAAGCGATGCATTCCAAAGCAACATGGTTAAGACTCATAGCCTTGACACTGGGGATTCCGGTGGCTGCCTTTTTCAAACACCTGGTCATGTGTTTATAGCCCTTCTCCATCACCCGGTTTCTAAGAATCTTTTTGGATGCCCACTCATCTCCCAAAGCTCCAGCTTCTGGTCCTGGTTCTGCAGGTTCTGCAGGTTCTGCTTCCACCTCTCGTTCACGAGGCCGGGAGCTGTCAGCCATCCTGCTATAACATCAGCTTGGGTCGTGGTGAAACCAGCCAAAATGAGCTGCGTGGTTGGCTCGTGTTTGGCTTCTGCATTCGATTGAAAAAGAAATCATTTGCATTTACAATTTCTGAACAGCCCGTCCCAACCATCTCCCAGCAGCCGTGTGGGGTGGATCGCACCTCTCAGCATCTCTTGCGCCAGGTCGCGCTGAGCAGATGGCATGTCATTGCTCACCTGGTCACCTCTATGACGACCAGATCTAAGTTCAACTTCCCAAAAATCAAATCTTGGTGTTTGAGTATACTTGGTTGCTTTGATGTGATATGGTGGCGCTTAGTTGGTAGCTGGTGGATTATGTCTCACATTGTCTGACCAATGGTATTCTATTGTATTCTAAAGGCATGCAGCTACAACTAAGTTTTGATATGTTAGGCAGATTTCTCAAGAATTGTGCCGGGATTGAAAAATATCAATTCTGCCTCTGGTCGGGCAAAGTCGCTTCTAAAGCCAAAGAGGCAGAAGTTCCTGAAAAGGCAAAAAAAAGCATACTGTGGAAGGTGCAGGTATAAAATAATATTATAATATAATATATAATTATTTTATATATAATACATATAATATACATATATGTATAATGTGTAGCCTATTGTAACGCACATAAACGGGTACATGAAAAGCTCGGCCGTTGATTGGGGCATGATTCCCCGATTCGTAACTTGGGACGTGACTTCGGACGTCAGGTTGCAACATCGTCGTAATTAATCAAAATACATTATATATATATATATATCACCATATATATATATCATTATATATAAATATCATTATATAATTATATATATATATATACACCTTATTTTTCCTTGTTTATGCTTATTGTCGGTTCTGTACCCCATATGTCCCGATATGATGTTGTATTCCCAGCTATTGCTGGCTATATATTCCACGTTCTATCCAGATTAATATCCCAATTATATACATCCCAATAAATGCCTAGTTACCCTCTGGTAAACTAACATGACTATGGAAAATCACCATTTTCAATGGGTAAATCAACTATATCTATGGCAATTTTCAATAGCAAACTGTTAGTTTACCAGAGGGTAAACCATGAAAAAAACCAGAGTGCTTTGGAGCGTCTCATCTTTGATGATCTTTTTCTGGTGGCTAATCCACAACGCCACCACTATCACAATCTCAGGCAGAACAAGAAAACAAACCCTCAACCAGTTCCGTATTTGAAGTCTACAACTGTTTAGTTTGATTGAAATTTCTTGGTACAAAATCGAAGCCTCACATTGTTAGTTGCTTCGTTACTGTTATTTTTTTCGCCCGTTTCATGTTGAGTCCGGTTGGCCGACGCCCAAATCATCCAAGTCATGGAAAAACCATAACTTCGTATTGCAACCTATGGTAACCTATTGAAACCTTAGTATTGAAACCTATTGAAACCTATGGTAACTTGGGGATCCCCCTTTTAAGAACCCCCCTATTGGTTTCCCAAGATTTTCAGACAATCTATGACAATCCCATGAGTCCCCAGGATCATCTTAGGATAATGCTTGGTGACGTTGTTCACGTGTTGGTAGCTCTCTGGAAAAAGGTGCAAGGTGTCAATCAACACCACCGGAGTGGATTCTAAAAGTCCTCCGGGTGAGCTCGATGAGTTCGGTTCGGTGAAATTCCTACTTTGAGGATCATTCCACTTACCCCCTGGTAAATTAACATAGACCCTGGCAGTCATCGGGGTTGTAAAAGACTAGTTTCCATTGAAAATGGGTGATAAAATCAGGGTCGAATTGTTAATTTACCAGGGGGTAGTGGTCAATACCCTATAACCCAAGTCTTTTTGTGGGGACACCCCCACGAATCGAGGATTTACTAACTAACTATGGTTATTGACCACATACCTTCTGGTAATCAGACAAGTTTAATTTATCACTACTTTCCTAGAGTTTCACCGTTCTACCTTTTTTTGGGTGGGGGTTGCAAAAAAGAACTATTAGGATGTGGGGATACTGAAAAAGTTGAGATATTCACTGATTCACCAGTAGATATACACATATTAAGCAATATCAAACCTGCACCAATGGGGTCACCCAAAAGGGGAGCTGGGTTCCTAATGCTACTCCACTACGAATTCCCAAGAACCACCTGGAAAAAGTCAAACAAAACACTAGGTGCGAGGGGCACTCCGCAAAGAAATTTGTCACTAAGCATCACTAAGCACAGTCATCAAAGCAACCTACAACCAACAAATACATCTGGGCCAAAAAGATACATTCCGATTGAACATCGGATGGATGGGATCATGAATTGACAGACATGGACATCTCTTGGAAGAATGAGAGGTATCTCTTTTTTTCCGGTGCCTTACGGCCCAACCTGGGAGAAACAGACCCAGCAGGCCTAGTTTGTCCAGCATGTCGATGATGACCATGCCAGACGGGCCGAAACTGCCTCGAAGTCGTCGACATGTTCGATGGCCAAGCTGTTAATCCATACAGCGGGGGAAATGGTGGCTTTTCACCAGCAACAAGAGGGACGTTGAATGGGAAGTTAGTAGGATAATACCTAACCAACTTAATATATATATATAATTATATATATTAATATCATATATATATATAATATTGTTAATATGATATGTGGGTGTGTATGAACATTTGGGACACGCCAAGAATTGCTATATTTGATGGGGAAAATGATGAACCATTTATAGGACTCGGGGATACCCTATCAGACAAACCCACTATCGCCCCACTTAGACCACTGGAAAACGTTGGGATATACCCCACTTAGATAAGGCTAGAATCAGCTAAGCGGTTTGTATGTGGGTTGTAATATGTTATAACCCCTTAGAGTTGGGATGTATTGGGATGGACTGCAAGAAGGCCGACTGGCCAGCCACTCCCAAAGTAGGTTCAGCTAGCCCTTGATTCACGACAACTGGCATCGTCTGGAGCGGCAACTCGTTGAGATCACGATGCTCAGGAGCATACACAATGTACGTGCCCTGGCTCCTCTTGCTGTCCTTCTCTGCAAGCTCAACATCTCTGTCCAGCTTGAAAGTTCCAGGCCCATAAGTTCCAAGTGCTGCATTGTTGAAGGCGGCAAGGCAGCACGACATGTTGGTGCCAGAGTAATAAGGATCATTGCGAAGAGCAGGGACATATGGGCTGTGTCCAGCTGCGAAACAACTTGCTCCATCCTCTGTCATCCTCAGCTACTAACCACGAATCGCTAGTTCTGGTAACACCTAGGCACGGACCCTAACCAGAAATTGCTCAGGCAGCATCAAGCACTGAGCTCGAATTCAACATGGCAGCTTGGTGCATTCTTAAATCGTAGCCAAGACTACATTCTCTTAACATGTGGAAACTAATCATTTATAGATGATTTGCTCATTTAAGTTATTCAAATGCCGCTGGGCTTTTTTTCCATGTCCAAAACCTAGCATTGCTAATTTTTATGTCATTTCCATGTCATTTCCATGTCCAAATTATTCCATGTCCCCAATTTTTGTGGCAGTCCCCGCTAATGACATCTACCGGCCATGTCCAGGCTATGCTCAAAACTTCCACCAAAATCTGAGCAAAATCTACCGATCCACCGATCCTGGACTCCCTGGTCCTGTTTGTTGGTTTATAAACTCAACAAATATATAATACTGATTGGGCAATAGGATTTTCCACAATAGAATTTTGTGATCATCCCCAATTTATAAAGGGTATTTCTATATATATATATATGTATATACTGGTTGGTGGTTTTAACCATCTTGAAAAATGATGGAGTTCGTCAATGGAAAGGATTAGCCCATATATTATGGAAAATAAAAAATGTTTGAAACCACCAACCAGAATATATATGCATATACCCTCTGGTAAACATACAAAAAGCGAACTGGAAAATCAAAATCTTTAAGAACGGTAAATCAACGAAATAAAGGTGCCATGTTCAATAGCAAACTGTTAAATTACCAAAGGGTACATATCATCAACCCTTGTTATGCTAGCTATGGTAACCAGCCTCAGGCTGAGTAGGGGGCCCGGGGGCCCCACCTTGTTCCAAGATTCGTTGGGGTTGGTGATTTTTCCTCTGGATTCATAAATTCATCCGACAAAACGACAAAATGTCGAATGAAATCATAATGGTTAATATCAATGGATTGGCTTAAGGGAAAATCTACAGGAAACCATGGTTTTTACCATCAAATATAGGGGTTTCCTGTAAATTTTCCCATCATCCAGTTCTATGATAATATTAGTATGGTTTCATAATGGTTAATAAGGGTTAATGATGGTTAATTTTTTTAAATAATGGTTATTTATTATCTGGTTGGTGGTTGAGCCCTACCCCTCTGAAAAAAATATGACTTCGTCAGTTGGGATGATGACATTCCCAATATATGGAAAAACAAATCATGTTCCAAACCACCAACCAGTGATGTTATACACCATGTATAGCCAATTTATGGATGCTGGGGTTGGTCATCCCAATGATGTGGCTCAAAAAATGGGCTGTATCCCCAATGTTTTGTATCAGTATTGTGGAAAAATGATGGCATCAGAATAAATCAATGGTTTTTGGGTATTCTAATGTATTCTATATCCAGATTGAAACCCTATCAAATCCCAAATCCACATAAATCCCATGAAAATTCTGCATCGAATCCCATGATGTTGGTAGATCATCCCTATGTTTTCATAGCAAGAGACTGAACTGGACCACCCCTCCGGGCAATCTCTTTGCCTGACCGGCTGGAGAATCTTCCCAGGGTCCCAGGGTGGAATACCTTTGTTCCAGATATATCCCCAATGTATTGCAGATACCCTCTGGTAAACTGTCACAGTTTGCTATTGAAAATGGCCCAATCGAAATAGTTGATGACTACCCTTTTTCATAGCATGGTGATGTTCAATAGTTATGTTAAATTACCAGAGGGTAAGTATGTTAGATTCAGTATAAGCAACTCCTGTATACTATGTATAGTAAATATAATTATCACTTGTTGTTGGTTTGGATTCTAAAAAATCTAATCCAGTGACGTCGCCATTATGTTGCTATAATTCAGCCAGATATGTCCCCTATATCATCAATACCTTTCCAGATTGTATCCTATACCTCTAGTATTATCGAAGGAAGTTTAGAAGTCAAACTTCCGACAATATGGACAGATGAAAAGCAGAGTAGGGCAGAGGCAGAGAGAAGAGAAAGATTAGAAGAGAGAAGAGTAGAAGAGAAAGAGTCAGAAGAAAGAAGATGCAGATGCGCGAAAAGGTAGGAAAGTCGCGAAACACTGTGTTTTTCCAATGATTTGTGGCTCCGGAGAGTCGAAAAGTAGGCTCGCTAAAGCGGCGGGTGCGGAGCCAGCTGGCCAGATGAGAGATGAAAAGTTGCACGCCGTTGTGGCGCGAAGCACATTTCCAAGTCAAAATGTACAAAACACACCATGCTCGGACCACTTTTGGAAGTTAAGATGTTGAAAAAGTGCACGCCGTTGTGGCGCGAAGCACATTTCCAAGTCAAAATGTACAAAACACACCATGCTCGGACCACTTTTGGAAGTTAAGATGTTGAAAAAGTGCACGCCGTTGTGGCGCGAAGCACATTTCCAAGTCAAAATGTACAAAACACACCAGGTCCGGACCACTTTTGGAGGTTCAGATGTCGAAAAAGTGTCGAAAAAGTGCACGCCGTTGTGGCGCGAAGCACATTTGGAAGTCAAAAGTGTAAAAAACTCAGGGTTTTGAACCTTTTTTGACGTTAAGATGTCGAAAAAGTAGACACTGCTTAACTTAACTAACTTGACTAACTTCACTAACTTAACTACCCTAACTTCGACGACAACACCAACAACAACAACAACAACAACAACACCAACACCAACCACAGCAACTACAACTACAACAACAACTACTACTACTACAAGTACAGCTACAACTACAACTACACAACAACTACAACTACAACAACTACTACAAGTACAGCTACAACTACAACTACACAACAACTACAACTACAACTAGAACTGCAACTACAACAACTACAACAACAACAGCAACAACAACAACAACACTTACTACAACTACAACTACAACTACAACTACAACAACCACAACTACTACTACAACAACAGCAACAACAACAACTACTACAACTACAACAACTACTACAACAAGTACTACTACTACAACTACAGTACACAATAACTACAACCACACAACAACTACAGCTACAACTACAACAACAACAACTACAACTACAACAACTACAACTACAACTACAAAACAACTAGTTACAACTATATGACTGCAACTACACTACACTAATTACATTACACCACAACTACAACTCCACTACGCTACAACTACAACTACAGTTGCAGTACATCACACTACATCCAGCAATTGTGGGTGAGGTGACCACTGCAACCATTGCAACCCTTCCAGCAAACACAACTCCAACCACCTTTCGGTCCATCAGTGGATTCGCTCTGCCATCCCTGATTCACAACAACCAATCTCTCCTATAGGTTTCCTATTTTTGAAACTTCCGCCACCGCCTTGTGCGGTACTACTGGTAACTATGGTTGCTATATAAATGTGTATATATATATATATAGAGCACTTGCTGTACAAAGCTATTCCAAATTATATTCCCATGTAATCCAAATTTCCCATTCATCACAGTCCAATGGTAGATATATGATATATCAGATATATATCTCATTAGTTGCAGGGGGTTATACCCCATCACCAATTATGAGAATGAATTGGCTGATACAATTTAAAAGAAATAGAAGTAATTGGTAGAATCTCAACCCATATATACTATAATATTTAGTAGATATTCTAATACTGTGTCGATGGACAAAATCCTGCGCCAGTTGACAACTACAGGGATTCCTATGAAACACTGGGACTATTCCATGGGATTGCAATGGGATTACCATGGGATGTTTCCCATCTACCAACTAGTGCAGGATTTCGCAACCATCCACAGTATCTCAATATATTGTTGGCGAATATCACCATTAAATCCAATGATATTCCCATGACATATCACCATTAAGGCTCATGAATGGTGAAGGGACGCAATCTCTCTATTGATTAATTGGAGGAGGTTTCCTAAAATGGGGGTGCCCCCAAATCATCCAAGTCATTAGACAAGTTTAGTATTGAAACCAATGGGACTTGGGGATTCCCCCATTGTAAGACCCCCCCCATACAATCAGTAGAATCTCAGCCCATATATCATCTTGATTGATGTTGATAGTTTCAGTTATACTAAGTTAGACCAATATATCTAGAAATTATACCCATAAGACATTGTAATATGTGTATAATGTGGGATACAGATTAGTGTGGGGATACAGAATTGTGTCCACAGACTCCAAAATTATTCTGTAACTTTGGAAATGATCGAGGGTACAGTTTTGTGTCCACTGGATTTTGGTGTAAGTTTTTTCATTTTTGTTGTTTTTTTTTAAGTTTTAAAGTGTTTTAAAATATGTTTTATTTTGTTGTTTATGATAATTAATTATCATTTAATTTTCAATTTAACAAATTTCAAAAAATAAAAAATAAATACAATAAATATATATAATCATTATCACTCAATTTTTTGACAAATTTAAACATTATATTTACTTGTGTCAGGATACACTATTGTGTCTTGATCTTGTCTGGGGTACAATATTGTGTCTTGGTCTTGTTTCTGTTCAAACATTTTTCATTTTTTTCATTTTTTTAAAGTTTTTTCTTTTGCTTTTTATTTTCCATCATTGAAATTTTCCAGATGCCTCCCACAGAAAATTACATCCAGGTACACAATAGTATGGTTTGTTTGGGGGGTACACTATTGTGTCCAGCTGCTTCCTGATGTGATTTTTTTTTTGCAATCATGTCCTTTACCTTTTCCTTTGCTAAAGTTTTTTCCTTTTAATTAATTGATTATTTTCTTAGTTTCTTTCATTTGAAATTCTCAGAAATGCCAAATTTCCCAAAATATATGACACCTTATTCAAACCCAATTCAAAACCATCACTCAAACAATTTTTCAAGGGGGTAGTCCATGAGCAACCCTGATCCACAATAGTGTGGTTTGTTTGGGGGTACACTATTGTGTCCAGATGCTTCCTGGGGTGATTTTTTTTTCACACAATCCCTTTACCTTTTCCTTTGCTAAAGTTGTTTTTCCTTTTAATCAATTGATTATTTTCTTAGTTTCTTTCATTTGAAATTCTTAGAAATGCCAAATTTCCCAAAATATATGATGTCTTATTAAAACCCAATTAAAAAACATCACTCAAACAATTTTTCAAGGGGGTAGTCCATGAGCAGCCCTGATACACAATAGTGTGGTTTGTTTGGGGGTACACTATGTCCAGATGCTTCCTGGGGTGATTTTTTTTTGCAATCATTTCCTTTACCTTTTCCTTTGCTAAAGTTTTTTTCCTTTTAATTAATTGATTATCTTCGTAGCTTCTTTCATTTGAAATTCTCAGAAATGCCCAATTTCCTAAAATATATGACACCTTATTAAAACCCAATTAAAAAACATCACTCAAACAATTTTTCAAGGGGGTAGCCCATGAGCAACTCTGATCCACAATAGTGTGGTTTGTTTGGGGGTACACTATTGTGTCCAGATGCTTCCTGGGGTGATTTTTTTTTCACACAATCCCTTTACCTTTTCCTTTGCTAAAGTTTTTCTTTTACTTCCTAAATTTTCTTAATTAGTTTCTTTCATTTGAAATTCTCAGAAATGCCCAATTTCCCAAAATATATGACACCTTATTAAAACCCAATTAAAAAACATCACTCAAACAATTTTTCAAGGGGGTAGTCCATGAGCAAGCAGCCCTGATACACAATAGTGTGGTTTGTTTGGGGGTACACTATTGTGTCCAGGTGCTTCCTGGGGTGATTTTTTTTTGCAATCATTTCCTTTACCTTTTCCTTTGCTAAAGTTTTTCTTTTACTTCCTAAACTTTCTTAATTAGTTTCTTTCATTTGAAATTCTCAGAAATGCCCAATTTCCCAAAATATATGACACCTTATTAAAACCCAATTAAAAAACATCACTCAAACAATTTTTCAAGGGGGTAGTCCATGAGCAACCCTGATACACAATAGTGTGGTTTGTTTGGGTGGTACACTATTGTGTCCAGATGCTTCCTGGGGTGATTTGTTTTTCAAACATTCCCTTTACCTTTTCCTTTGCTAAAGCTTTTTTTTATGGTATTTCTATGGTATTACTATTGGATTTCTATGGAATTCCTATGGGATTTCCATGATGTTTCTATGATATTTCTGGAGGATTTCTATGGGATTTCTGAAGGGGTGCTATGGGAGTTCTATGGTACTCTTATGGGATTTTCCATTGAATTCCTATGGGATTTCTATGGTATTTCTATTGGGTTCCTATGGAATTTCTATTGGATTCCTGTGGGATTTCCAAGGTATTTCCATGATGTTTCTATGATATTTCTATGGGATTATTATTGGAATTCTCATGGGGTTTCTTTGTGGTTCCTATGCTATTCCATGTTATGTCTATGATCTTTCTATGGGATTTCTTTGGGATTCCTATGGGATTTCCATGGTATTTCTATGATATTTCTTTGGGACTACTTTTGGGTTTCTATGGGATGTCGATTGCAAGTAAACTGACAGTAAATTGAAATCAATTCAAAGTAAATTGAAATCAATTCAAAGTAAATTGAAATCAGTTCAAAGTAAATTGAAATCAATTGAAAGTAAATTGAAAGTAAATTGAAATCAATTGAAATCAAATTGAAATCGATTCAAAGTAAATTAAAATCAATTCAAAGTAAATTGAAATCAATTCAAAGTAAATTGAAATCAATTGAAAGTAAATTAAAAGTAAATTGAAATCAATTGAAATCAATTGAAATCAAATTGAAATCAATTCAAAGTAAATTGAAATCAATTGAAAGTAAATTGAAATCAATTGAAAGTAAATTGAAATCAATTGAAAGTAAATTGAAATCAATTGAAATTCAATTGAAATCAATTCAAAGTAATTTGAAATAAATTGAAAATCAATTTAAATCAATTGAAAGTAAATTTAAATCAATTCAAAGTACATTGAAATCAATTCAAAGTAATTTGAAATCAATTCGAAGTAAATTGAAATAAATTGAAAGTAAATTGAAAGTAAATTGAAATCAATTCAAAGTAAATTGAAATCAATTGAAAGTAAATTGAAATCAATTGAAAGTAAATTGAAATCAATTGAAATTCACTTGAAATCAATTCAAAGTAAATTGAAATAAATTGAAAATAAATTGAAATCAATTGAAAATAATTTGAAATCAATTGAAATCTATCAAGTTTTTTTAATTCCACACTATTGCGTGCCCGATACCTTGTTTTTTCACACTGTTCTGTATCCAAAATTTGTTGGGGGGGGGGGGGACCCCCCTGTACTAATCTGTAACCTACATTATAAACGATATGTGTTAGATCAATTCTCATAGATAATGATATGATCCACCACACATGACACAGGACCAAGTTGCACATGTTAAACCCAACGTGCATCCAAACGTGCCCAAGTTGCCAATGAACTAGTTGGTTCTACTAACTTAGATCAGTATATCAGTATATCTATTTATACCCATATAAATTCTGGTATATATATATATATATTTATTTTACATATATGTGATATGATATATTAGATCAAATCTCATAGATACCCTCTGGTAATTTAACATAGCTATTGAAAATGGCCATAGAAAAAGTTGATTTACCCATTTAAAATGGTGATCATCCATAGCTATACTAAGTTAGGCCAATATATCCAGAAATTATACCCATAAGACATCGTAATATATATATATGATATATGATATATGTTAGATCATTTCTCATAGATAACTGTGATACCATCTGGTAAACTAACATAACTATGGAAAATCACCATTTTTAATGGGAAAACTCACTATAAATGGCCATTTTCCATGGCCATGTTAAATAACCAGAGGGTAATTCCCATGATTTCCTGGGATTTTTAAGTGGTTTCCAAGCCATGCTGTTGGCCAAGCTGCCCATTGTAGGATCTCCTGCGGCGATCGTCCCTGCAGCTCCGCATTCAGCCACGCCACGCGATCCTCCGGTGCTTCAATGGATTGGTTTAAGGGAAAATCTACAGGAAACCCATGGGTTTTTACCATCAAATTGGTTGGGCTTAAACCGGTGTAAATTGTCCCATCATCTAATTCTATGACTCATGGGATTTCTCGATTGTTGAGGCTTTTAGTTGGATTTTATGGTTAATAATGGTTAAATGATGGTTAAAAATTGTGAACAATGGTTATTGATTTTTAAACCATGTAGTCAATTTATGGATTTCTCTCTGGATTTTTTTGGGGTTTTATTGCTGGTTGGTGGTAGACCTACTCCTCTGAAAAATATGAAAGTCAGTTGGGATCATTATTCCCAACATATGGAAAAATAAAAATCGTGTTCCAAACCACCAACCAGTATTGGATTGTATTGGAATGTATTGTCCCCTTTTATTGGTTGGTTGTGCGGTTTTTTAACTGAATTTAGGGGTACTTTATAGGATGCTCATGGGAATTTAGAGTGGTTAATGGAATTTTAATGGATTTGATTTCAATGGGATTTTAGGCGGCCTTAATGGATTTGAATGATTTCGAATGCATGATTGCTTTGGATCGTATTCCATTGGGGAATACACACTGGAAATGGCTACAAGTAGGGATTTTTGCTGGGATCTTGTGGAAGCTCACGAGGAATATCATGGCAAACACTTGGAGAGACTGACAAATAACAAACAGAAACACACTGATAGAATCTCCCCCCCAAAAAAATATGTGAGGAGGATTGTATCAGTGTTTGTGAAAAAAACACTTACTTGTGCTTAGTCAGGAATGAGGGAATGATCCACAATAACTATCAATAATAATTAATCCCATTCCCCCATTCCCATACATTCCCTGCTAAGCACCAGTAAGAAATTGTTTGATTTTCCATAAACACTTGGAAATATCATGGGAAACACTTGGAGACTGACAAATAACAACATTAAAAAAAAACACTGATATGTGTAGTTCTTTAACATAGCTATTGAAAATGTTCATTTATAGTGGATTTATCGTTTACCAATGGTGATTTTCCATAGTTTTATGATGTTTTATGTACAGGTTTACCGAACTGGTATGTGTGGTTCAACAACTGGTGGCATACCCCTCTGAAAAATATGATGAAAGTCAGTGGTGAAATTCATCACGAAAATCCGAAGAAAAATCATCCAGTCATGTTCCAAACCACCAGAAGATGTTCATAGCTCCCAAGAATCCCCTTCCTTCAGAACGTCAGGTCCCCCATCCACTCTCCTGCACATGATAGTTGCGATTCAACTCGACAGGCCACCACAACAGGATGGAGCACCTTGGTTTTCGATAGGAAAAACGGGACAATCCCATGGCAGGTTATGAAATTTATATGAATTTATATGAATTCATGGTTGTTAACCATCCAAAACAGGGTGTAACATGGGTTTAACCAGCAAATAAATGGCAACTGACAAGTAAAAGTGTCCGTTTTGTCATGGAGCTACCCCTTAAATCCTTGTTGAAACATCTATTGAAACCGTACCTTGGGGATCCATTTCTTTCTGGTACCACTTTTGTTTCAACCGCTGGGGATTTGGAGGCGGACTTCATGCAGAAATCGTTCGGTTTTTGATCAAGTCCAACATATTTGGGGCAGTGAAACCATAATTCTTGTGGCTGATATTTCTCCATCGTTTTTTTTCGGGGCCCCATATTTTTCGATGGACGTTAAAACCCCGATAGTTATTCGAAAAAGTCAAAACATGTCAAAACTAAGAACCTCAACCCCAAGTAGATCCCTAAAAGATGGAGGATAGTAAACTCATTCAACCTGGAAAAAAATCTGAAACACCGTGAAGTTGATCGGAAAGGTGACCCTTTTTACAGAAACTACAAGTGGATAGGTAGCCTCTGGGTTCATCGGAGGCGAAGCGAAATCCATTCTTTTACATGGAACAATGTCATTTCCAACTGGACATTGAATGGTTTTTTTAGGTGCCTATATGTTAATTCAAATCACCGAGCAGACCTAACATATATCCCTCTCAATCGGCGATTGAATCAGTGTCCACTGGTAGATCCATTCCATCAAATCGAGTCCCTGAAACTGACGCAGCAAACACTTGCTGGCTGGTGGTATGCCTACCCCTCTGAAAAATATGACGAATCGTCAATTGGGATCATGACATTCCCAACATATGGAAAGTCAAAAAAAAATCATGGTTCCAAACAACCAACCAGTTTCGGGATTCCCCAAATCGAAAATTCCCATCATTCCAGGCTTCGGTCGCAGGTCGCTACATGTTGAATCTTCCCTAGCTGGATCAATGTGGTAAACCCAGGAGAATCCAAAGCGTTTTTCGTTGGAGGTCTGTGATGTCTGTGATTGGGTCTTGAAATATGTTTGGTGGTATGCACCGAATTTGCTTCGGATGTATAATATTATGTATATTATATTTATATATATATAGTTGAGGTTGTTCCCTTGTACACACACACAATCAACTGGGAGTATCTAGTTGCGGCAAGCCACAAGCAAAGAAAACTCAGGCACATCATTTTCCTCAGGCCATTGCTGAAGTGACACAGAGTTTCGCTGCAGATGCTGCAGTCCCATATGGGGTTTGCCAATGGGGGTGCTGCGAAACGGATGCAAAATGAAGCTACTGGGATTTCTACAATGGCTCCAGAATGATAGGTAAGCTATGGTAAGCTGGTGCAAATTACTAGGTTTATCTAGGTTTACTCTGGTTGATGGTGGATTCATATTTGCTAAATGGCTTTGTAAACATGCTTATACCTGGAGTGGCACATTCATCTTTGTGACCTGTAGTGTTGCTTAAGGTGGAAATTCCAAACCGAAAAGATTCAGCAAACGGATTGGTTTTGGGAATCTGAAATCTTGGGTTATCTGTATCATCTATATAGTTAGTAGGGCTTCTAGTCCAACTTACAACTACCCACCGGTGTCATCAGTCACATGGCGTGCTGGAAAATGCGCGATTGAGTTCGGTGATGTTCCTATTGAAACCCCCATTTCAATTGTGGATTTCCGGAGGGTAGGCCCCAACTTGTAGGTAGCACCTGGGCACCTTCATGGCTAGCTTCATCTTGGGCTTATGGGGTCTCGGCATTGGTGCCCTTCAGTGCGACACTCAAATGGCCTGTTTTCTGAACATCGAGGAAAGCCCCAACCATCCGTTGGATGATTCATCATTTTCCACCATTTTCCCTCTTAAATATTTTACCAGAGAAAGAAGATGTCACAAATAAGAAATCAGTAAAACAACATTTAAAAAAAACAAACCAAGGACCTCAAAATCCATTTCCAGAGACCCGTGTTCAACTACAAAACCTTTAACTGAGGTAATTAGGTGTAATTATGCCCTATTTCCAGACAAACCCTGGGACTGATGTTCATCCCAAACTGGGCCGATCCATCCCCCCCTTTTTTTGAGAGCACCTGCAAAACCTGAGCTGACCCCGAACTTTTGTTCGCTTGGCCCGAAAGAAAATAGAAAAAATCATGTACCCTCTGGTAATTTAACATAGCTTTTGAACATAACCCATTCATAGTTGATTTACCTATTGAAAATGGTGATTTTCTATAGTTCTGTTAGTTTATCAGAAGGTATCCTCCAGCAAATGAAACATGGAAAAATGGAAATCCCAGGATTCCCCAAAATTTCTCGAACGTTGCATGGTGTGTTTTCCATACCTTGATTTCAAGGGGAAGCCAAGAAATCAAAACCATCAACCCAAACCCTCTGGTAATCAAACATGCCGATGGAAAATCATCCATTTATCGAGATTTATAGTTGTCCATTTAAAATTATTAAAATACCCATTTATGAGGGATTTCAAAGCTAGCCATGTTTGATGACAGCGGAGGGTAACCATACTGGGTTGTGATAATCTCCGATACCCGCACTAATCATCAAGCAACATGGGTTCAGCAGCCACTGCTCAGTGGATTAAAAGAACGGGATTCCTAGAATAGTTATGATAATCCCCAAAACATTGTGCTATCATTAAGCACACCCTCAGAAACCATGGTTTATTTGGACATTTACACATAACCATACAATGAGTGTGTTTCATACTGGTAGAATTGGATTATATAATTATATAAATATAGTATGGATTAGCATAAGCCCACACAATCATCAATCAACCATGACTTATCAACTATATCCCCATCAAAATGCTTAAAACCTCACCATTTGCGGATCATTTTCCAAAGCATATCCCTCATGGTTTTTCAACATATGTAAACGTTTGCCCCGGGGTAAACCACCATGAAAAAAACAACTATATCAAACTGTATCCTCATATGTTCATATATATTTTCATGGTCAGAATCCGTATTGAATGATATTACATCATATTACATCACTATAATCAACCAACAGTGGTTTTTGATCCCGCAGCCACTGAAGCTCAACGAGCTTACGACCCCAGCCGCCGATGGTTTCGCAGGAACGCGCGCAGTCCTGAACGCAGGTTTCCGGCGATGTTTACCCTAAAGTCATCCATTGAGATTTGTAGATGGTTAAGGTTTGGTTCTCGAGTCTAGATGATTTTAGATTCTGTTATATGTGTTATATTACAGTATATGCATTGAGATGCAGTTTACACTTGATACATTTTATCCATATGTATCCATATTTGCAGGTAAAAGTTTCCAACTTATTGATACAGTTTATCCATATCTATCCATATGCGCAGGTAAAAGTATCCAACTTCTTGATACATGTTATCCATATTTATCCATATGTGCAGGTAAAAGTATCCAGCTTCTTGATACATTGCGATGCACCCATACACATATATAATTTTGCCACTTTCGGGAAATTTAAATTTACACCATAGGAAGCATGGTCAGCTCTCTTGTTCCTTGTCGCCAAAGGCAGGACATTTGAGTTGCCAACATGATCAGTCAAAACCATAAGCCCACTCTCGCCCATGGTTGTGAACATTGATAGCAAGGTGATCGCGTCAACATCCTCCATGTCGTTTACCTCGATCCTGAGCTGTCCTCTGTCACGGCTCAACGACTCAATCAAATACTTGGAACCTGACAGGAGGTCTGTGACTGTGACAGCAGGCGCCCAACGAGCCTCTGTGTCATCATACATCTCCAAGTTGTTCTTTACTTGTCTTTGCCTTGCAATCTTCCACAGGATTTCTTCGCCTCCAATTGTATCCTGGAGTGCAGCCAGATCCTTGAACGTCAGAAGCATGCAGTGGAGTGTGCAGAGCACGCCGCTCATATTTCCAAACCACCAACCAGTATAGTTCGGTTTACCATGGTTTATAGTGGATACATCTATAGTTACTATAGTTGATGGGGTTATCAACAAATCACTGGGGGACCCCACATCGTCATCTAAACTACCGCAACACTATCGGATTTGAATCGTCAGTCATTTAGTTTCTATTTACGAGAAACTATTCCCCAAAGATGTCGAAGATATTCACAATTCCACTGATACAGCCTATTGTCTGTTGGGTAAATCCGTTTTGTTGTTGGTTAACATCCCCAAATTTGTTTGGTCCCAACATTTGTTCCTAAAACATTGGCAAATCTTGGATTTGATGTTTTTTGTTCTTAACATGTTGGGTTGATATCTCCATTTATTGCAAAAGAATGAAGTACAACCAGTGGGGTTTAACAAACCATATGTGGGGATATTTCATGGGAATATATTATGGGGGTATATTGAGATATAATGTGATATAAGCAGCAATAGAGGGTAATGGGTGTGTCCGAAATGGGGATATACCCAATTTATGGTGGTTGTTTTTTAAAGTGGAACATATTTTGAGACAACCCACTTGATAGCAAACACATAAAGTACTACAGTAGTCTTAGCAAAGTAATCTAAAGTAATTCTCCATCTAAGTGTGAGGTTTGTCTGAAAAAAGAGTACTCTGGGTACTCCAAAATTTGATGGGTTTATCATCACGTTCCCTATGAAATTGCTAATACTTTCCCATAAACTAACATAGCTATGGAAATCAGCCTTTTATATAGGTAGATCAAGTGTAACTGGCCATGTTCCATAGCTATGTTATTAGTTTACCAGCTATTAAGCTATCAACCGTGGCTATCAACTAATTATTATTTCCAGAGCTATCAACCATCATTTTCCCTATGAAATGGCTAATCCAACTGCTGTTTCCCCCGTGTTCAAACAGCCCAAGGCATGTGTCTCCTGCGAACTCAGGCAGAGCCTTCATGGACTCAGGGCATTTCTCCACTTCCTCACGAAAATATGGAGCTGCTTGGAGGATCATCCCACTTAGTCATTGCTAATCATGGTGAATTAGTACCCTAACTAGCCTTATCCCGTTTATAATATATATATATATTTGGTGGTATACCTACCCTGAGCCCTACCCTTCTGAAAATGATGGAGTTCGTCACTTGGAATCATGACATTCCCAATATGATGGAAAGTATTGGAAAGTCAGAAAAAAAATCCATGGTTCCAGTTTCCACCAAGCAGTTATTAAATGGGTGAAGCCCATTTTTCCAGCGGGATGGTCCAAACAAAAGATAACTGGATCTTTTGGATGAACTGCTAACTGGATGAGCATCCAATGCTGGGATTGAACTGATGGAACCCCTAAGGGGCCATGGGGCCCGGGCAATCCCAGCATTTGTGGAGAATTGTCGCGGTAGCAAAATATCTCTGGGTCAAAACCTTTGTACTCTGTAGTTCCAATGGGGCCCCCCAGTTGTAAGTTGGCTTATAAACCATGAAATAATCCCCATTAACTATAGATATATCTACCATAAACCATAGTGAAGCCACTTATAAGGCAACTTAGCTATCTTGGGGGCCCCATCCCGTAGTTCCCACCAAAATCGAAGAAGTGCTTGAAACATCTGACAAACTGATCCGATTTTGGAAGCGTTTCCCAGGTAACACAATGAAGGGTGAAACATCTTCACTCGCCAGCTGCTCAAACGTGCAATGATATCTCAAACATGCGTATCTCACAAAAAAAATCCTCATCTGGTTGGTGGTTTCAACCCCTCTGAAAAATATTAGTCAGCTGGGATGATTATTTCCAATATACGGGAAAATAAAACATGTTCCAAACCACCAACCAGTCATTGTATCCCTTCCCTCATCCCCCCCATTCATAGACAGTGTACGTTTCGATCCCAAATGAGTTGATGGCCCATCCCATACCCTTTTCTTGTTGCAACTCCTAAAAGGATTCACCAACAGAGTCAGGAAATCACCAAGGCAAAACGTTACAGTTTGGCACAATACATTTGTTATATATATATATATGTATCATTGTGTATCCCATTCTATCTCCGTAAAATCTCAAAAAACGCAAATCGCCAATACCCTCTGGTAAACATACAAAAAACTATGGAAAATCACCATGTTCAATGGGTAAATCCACTATAAATTGGCCATTTTCCATAGCTATTTTGACATAACCAGAGGCTACCGCATTCAATACGGAAAAGCTTGCTGGACCGCCAACCATCAAAGTTCGCACAGACAGCTACTGATTCAAACCTCGGATTTAGCCCGTGGTAAACTACAGATTTTGCCCTCCACTACGGCAATGGTTGAAGGTAACAAAGACTGCACAACAAGAATCTCAAAAAAAAACATCAAATGACCAGTTTCACCGATGAAATTCACAGGTGTTTAATCATTTTAATTTTAATCCTACTATAGTATACTAGTGTTGATGGTTGATCTACCACTCTGAAAAAATATGAAAGTCAGTTGGGGTTGCTATTCTCAATATATGGAAAGTCATAAAATTCATGTTCCAAACCACCAACCAGTAATCCTACTATTGTATACTAGTGTTGGTACTACATTTTGGAGACAAGGCACACTGGAAGTTCCATGTTCCATTCGTCGCTTCATGGTGCCATGGCAAGCCGCTTTTGTGGCAGGGCCAGGGGGCCAGGGGGCCAGGGGGCCAGGGGGCCAGGGGGCGGGGTCCCAACCCTATGCCTTGGGAGTGCAAGCTTGCAATTATGTTATAATTAGACTTTGGAACATTATCAACATTCAACATTGTTGTCATTCTTAAATATGGAAACACCATAACATTTCATTATTGCGCAACAATAATCTATAGGTAATGCGAACTGTAACCCAACTTATGACTCTGCTGATGGTGTGCCCTGGATGAATTGCCTTTAACTTGCAAGAAAATCATGTTGGCACGGTTTCCGAACCTAATCCATCCTTTTGGGTGGCGACGCTGTGAGGTTGGTGTCATTCGTGTTGTATCATTTAATAATATCATCCAAGAGTTCAACATATGGGTTTGTCTGAAAATAGGGTATCCCAAAATTTGATGGTCGAAAACCTAGTTTTCCTACACATTTCCCTTGTTGAGGGGACATGGACCTATATCTTCAGATCATGGTCTGCAAAATTTGCACATCCATTGAGCCAGGATCATCAAATATGTGAGGCCCCTTACTTTGGGAACTGGGCCCCATGCAACTTATGATGAAATATAACCACAAAAATTAAAGTGGAACTGCACCAGCACAGAAGAAAACTAAGATAACGGACAGAACTTGGTGAATTCTAGTCTTGTGGGGGATATCATATCTGAAGTGAACGGGGTCTATAAACCAACCAACATAACTAGGGGGCATTCCCCTTGCATGATGGAATAACACACCAGCGATGATGTACACTGTGGTAAATTAACCCTCAATTTTAGCAGGGTTTATAGGCGTCTATACCACCCATTTCCACTGAATTTGGTGATGGCTTAGGCCTTTGTTTTTGCCGGTTGACTGCGTTATGTCCATTGGTACTTGACATACTGTAGCTAAAATCACAAGTTTTGATAGGTAAATCCTCGAAGTAAATGGGCCATGGCTTCCAAAGCAAAGTGTAAATTTTTTGACCATTGCTGACCTCAGATGCATTAAACAGAAAGGCAAAGCCGCGACGCCCAAATCCTAGCTATAGCAACAATGACCAGCAAACAATTTTTTCCCCTTAATATTCAACACCCCCAAGAAACCATGGTTTGGTAGGGGGTTCTAGACATACTGTGACCATTTCGGGTGTGTGAAATATGAGGGGGATGGGATTAATCATTACAAGTAGAGCCCGGGCAAGCCGGGTGACGGAAGTTTCGCGAGAGGGAAGAACTTATAAAGACAAGGGAGAGCCTATAGGAACAGCGCCTGACCCCCTGGCTGGCACAGCCGTTGACGGCGTGATCTCTTGGAAGTCTTTGTCCTTGGCATTTCTTGCTCTCGACATCTTTGTCTGATGTTGCCACTTTCTCTTGATCCGGCTTGCTTCTGAATCTTGACAGCCCTTCTTGTGGACAGCTCTGGAGCCAGAGACTTGACACACTCTTTTATCCTGACAAGCTTTTTCTGATGTCACCGCTGTCTCTTGAAACCAATGTCGTTTCAGCCGCTTTCCGTTGAAGTCTCTTTCTCTTGGCATCCTTATCTTTGGGCATCTCTTTTTCTTGAGACCTGCTTCTCTTGACATTCTCTTCTCTCCACATCTCATTCTCTTGACACGGTTTTCGCTTGGCACCATTTTTCTTGTCTCCTGTTGTTTCACAATTTTATTCTGAGACTTCTTTCTGTTAAAATTGTTTCTTTGACACCTTCTGTCTTGACATCTCCTTTTTCTTGAGGCCATTTTTCATTCCCACATCTTTTTGACATCTTCTTACCTTGCAAACAAAATTCATCCTGTGTACTACGTGCACAAAGCCCTTGCTGTACCAAAAAAGACCTGCCCAAAGTATTTCCCAGTACTACTTCGTACTACAAAGCTTGCACAAGGTACTTCCCAGTACTACTTCGTACCACAACACTTGCACAAAGTACTTCCCAGTACTACTTCGTAGCAACAGCTTGCACAAAGTATTTCCCGGTACTATTCTGTACTACACAGCTTGCGCAAAGTACTTCCCAGTACTAGTCTGCACTACAAAGCTGCACAAAAGACTTCCCAGTACTACTTCGCACTACAAAGCTTGCACAAAGTACTTCCCATTACTACTTCGTACTACAAAGCTTGCACAAAGCACTTCACGCTACTACTTCGTACTACAAAGCTTGCACAAAAGACTTCCCAGTGCTACTTCGTACTACAACACTTGCACAAAGTACTTCCAAGTACTACTTCTTAGCAACAGCTTGCACAAAATACTTCACAGTACTGTTCTGTACTACAAAGTTCGCACAAAGTACTTCCCAGCACTACTCTGTACTACAAAGATGCACAAAAGACTTCCCAGTACTACTTCGTACTACAAAGCTTGCACAAAAGACTTCCCAGTACTACTTCATACATGCCAGTATGCCAGTACTACGTCGCACTACGAAGCTTGCACTTCCCAATTCTACTTCGTACTGCAAAGCTTACACAAAGTACTTCCCAGTACTACTCTGTACTACAAAGATGCACAAAAGACTTCCCAGTACTACTTCGTACTACAAAGCTTGCACGAAGTATTTCACAGTACTACTTCGTACTACAAAGCTTGCACAATGTATTTCCCAGTACTACTCGGTAATACAAAGCTTTTACACAGCAAAGCTTTTACACACAGAAGCTTTTGCACACAAACGCTTCACACACAGAAAAAGTTTACACAGCAAAGCTTTTTTACACAGAAGCTTTTAGACGGAGAAGCTTTGTCACAGAGAAGCTTTTAGACCGAGAAGCTTTGTCAAACAGAAGCTTTTACACAGCAAAGCTTTTACGCACAGAAGCTTTTGCATATGGAAGTTTTACACACACTCAAAGCTTTTACAAAGCAAAGCTATTTTGCACACAGAAGCTTTTACACAGAAAAGCTTTTAGGCACAAAAGTTTTTACACACAGAAGCTTTTACACAGCAAAGCTTTTGCACACAGAACACAGAATCTTTTAGACAGAAAAGCTTTGTCACACAGAAGGTTTCACACAGAGATGCTTTTAGGCACAAAAGCATTTGCACACAGAAGTTTTTTTACGCAGAGAAGTCAAAGAAGCTTTTACACATAGAAGCTTTTGCACACAGAAGCTCTTAAACAGAGAAAATTTTTACACACAAAAACTTGTACACACAAAAGCCTTCGCACTGTCCGAGAAACTTTCACACAGAGATGCTTTTGCACAGAAATTGCAGCTCCAAAACTGGATCTCGACGCCAAAGCAAGAAAAAGACGATTTTGAAGCAATTTTAGAAGGAAAATCGCCAGCGCCAAAATTGAAAAAATCTGCTGACAAATCAGAATCGCAGCGTTGATGCAGCCACTCCAATACGATTTACGATGTCCAGCTGCAAAAGACAATAGTATTACGCACGCAGCCGCCGCGCCAAGCAACCTTGACGCAGCAACTATACAAAACTTGACACAGCAGTTCCACTGCGATCTATCTGGCATCACTGCCTTGCAAATCACACTACAACTGCGTCGACCAAGGCGGCAATCAACAACATGGATGCAATGCCCAAAACCTCCCCCAGATCACAATAAATTGGTGGTACAAACCATTCCCACATGGGTGCTTTACTATGGTTTTAACATGTTTTAACTACGTTAATCTTTCACCCAGAAAAATGTTCGTTGATCTTGATATCATCGCACCTGCTAGCCATCGACTATCTGGCTGAATTTCATCATCATTCATCAACCCGAAGGTTTTTGCTGGCCATGTGGGATTGTTACCAATTAAATGTCAAGCCTGGATTAATACACCCTAAAACTAAGAAATTGTTAATTGCTGTGGTTATCCCCAAAATAGTGATATTGTAAATTGCTACTAACATTGGTACAACGAAATAAGAAGTAGTAAATTGGTGGATTACTGATCTGGGTTATCACTGTAAACACTGTAAACCATTGTAAACCCTCATTTGTGATGACGTCGTGGTGAAACCCATGCAATTTACCCAAACCTGCAGCATTCTTATGTAGGTTGCGTCTTGATTCCTGCGATATGGAAAATGAGACAAATTCAAAGTGATGTGGCAAGCCAAATGCCACAAACCCTGATGTTTATGGTTTTTGAAATACACAAGTGGTTTTTGAAATACCCAAAGTGGTAAGACTGGGCAAATGGGGTAATGGTTTCTTGTTGGATTTATGACGTCAATCAAATTCAGTTCGTAGCATCCAGAGTAATGTAGCTATTCAAACTCAAACCCCATTTCAGACCATCAACGACCCATCTATGGACTAGCCCGTTCCCAACAAAATTCTCCATCTTATAACCGTCAGTCAACCGTACCATCATCCACACCCCTATGTTTGCAGGTTTCATTCAGATTTTTCTACTGCTAATTAAAATGTTCCAACCATTACTGGTTGGTGGTTTCAACCCCTCTGAAAAATATGAGTCAATGGGAAGGATTATCCCATATATTATGGAAAATAAAAGTCATGTTTGAAACCACCAAACAGATTACTTCTGGGGGCATACCCTCTAGTTGACCAGAGGGTAATCTCATGTTTTCAATGGGAAGTTCAGGATCCTAAAATGGAGGTACATGAACGTACTATTTTTCAGGCCATATTTTGTGGGGATATTCCCTGAAATTTAGGCCTGAAACATAGGCCTTATATACGGTAGGTACCTCCAATTTAGGCTCCTGAAATGGCCATTGATGTTTGGGAAACTCTGAGTAGCTCCTCGGCCACCATTTTTTGTTGGCAACAGTGGACTCGGAATGACTTGGAGTCTCCACATCACTCCACCCAAGCGCCTCCAAAGTCTATCACTTTTTAGCCTGGTCAAGAGATTGGGTTGATAGATTCACCATTCAGAACTGAAAATAAATGACATTTTACTGAACATTCTTGGTTAGATCATGTTAAATAAATCTACTATGCCCATATGATGATCCAGTTGTATCCTCAATCGTTCTCATTCTC